GTCTCCTTCTCAACTGCACTGCATCGTCGCTGACAATAGTCAAACCCTTTAGAAAAGTAACTGACAGGCAACTCCACATTTGACTGATATTTGCATCAATAACGCTCCTGCAGCCACTGCGCCGGCATCAATGTCAAGCACGAAAGCCCTGGAAAAATCCAGCACAGCCAAGATCAGAGTCCACACAAAAGAACCCTCGCTCCATCAAAAGCATGCTCGCAATCTTGTGTCCACGCAAACTAGCGAGTAATTTTTAAAAGATCTGTTAGAGGTGTCACTAGGATTGCAAAATTACAACAAAATCCATGATAATAACCGGTCAATCCTAGTAAACGACGTAATTCTTGCCTATTAGAGGGTCTGGGAAACTCTGCTATGGCTGTGATTTTCACATCCACTGGTTCCCCCTGGCCTTGGCCCACTTGCTTCCCAAGGTAAGTAATTGTGGCTTTAGGAATGTCACACTTCACTCGAAAAGATGACAATGTCATCTAAGTATGCCTCACAGTCAGGTATATTTTGCAGTGCTAAACGCATGAGGTGCTGGAAGGTGGCTGGAGCATTTCGCCTGCCAAAGGACATTACCGAATATTGACCAAAGAAGTCAGGAGTTACAAAAACATTTTTTGCTGTGCGGCATGCGGCGATAATGGCACTTGCCAATACCCTTTTAACAGGTCTAATTTCATTACAAATTTAGCTGGACCAACATAATCAATGCAATCGTCAATTCTTGGTAAAGGAAAGGAGTCAGGTTTTGTTACTGCATTGAGTTTTCTGTAATCTGTAAGCAAACACGGTGAACTTCAAGAACTTTGGCTAGGTACAGCCTTGCCATTTTGCAACATATAATGTACTTCAGACTTCATTATTTCTCTCTTCATAGGGTTTAGTCTGTAAGGTTGTTAAGTGGACCGGCATTTTCCACATCAATGTCATGAAACTGAATGAACGTTGATTTGAGAAAGGACATCGGTAAAGATATTAGGAAAGTGCTTAATTAAAGCTTTAACATCTGCCTGTTGTAATTCTGGCATATCGCTTAGATACAAGGTCAGATTCTGTAAAATTGAGTTTTGCAGACGACTCGTTGGAAAAGAGACAGCTTCCACACTTTAGACATGCATTGAAAAGGTTTTCTTAACTCCTTGATGACCAGCCATTAGATGATCATGAGCTAGTTTTAATACTGCAGTTCGAAACGCAGAAGGAAGCACAATTTGATATCTTGGACTTAAGCTTTTATTCGTGTGTCATGGATTTCACCTTCGCATCTAAACTGATGTGCAAGTAAATCGCTTTTGCGCCTGTAAACACTGCGAAAAAATTAAACAAATTGCGATGCATTTTTTTAACTGAGGGGGCTTAGTTAAAAAAAATGCATATCGATTTGTTAAATTTTTTACTGATTTGAATCGTCCCATATTTGAATCGATTTTCAACCGCCTCACAGTAAATTATTACATCCCTACTCGAGACTAATTCTATTCAGTACTCATTACTCTCTCTGTAAAAGTTCCATCAAACAAATTTGTGACAACTGTGTTTTTATTGTATTTTTTTTTCACTTAGCATCTCAAAGCACTGTGGTTGAGTCATGTGCTTCCAACAATTCTAGTTTTACTGAACATGTGACACCAACCGTAACACCAACTGTGACTTCACAGTAGTTTTAATTTTTACGGCATAAGTTTCCAGTTAAGTTAATGAATGTACAAAAGGAAAAGAAGAGACCACTACCAAAAGACAGAAGATATATGATCAGGATCCATTGACGACTTAATGGATACTGACACCAGACCAGGAACAATCAAATTGAAGCAGATTGCACAACAACTAGATGAGAAACACGCTGATTGCTTCTTGGATAAGTTTGGTACAGATCTTGTGGGTCAAGGTTTTGCCTCCCTTGTTTTGCAAAGGGAGAACCCAGTTGAGAATGTTAGACAACAGTTTGCTTTGTACGCATTCCTTGTACAGAGACCATAGGAAAAAGTCCAAATTATCTGACCGTTATGGTTGCAGTCAGTAGGAACCAGAGTCACCAAATGACTATTGGCTACCATGAGAAAAATAATAAAATTCTGAAAGAAGCATGTAAAAAAAAAATCCCTTCCCGAGAGTGACATTTAAACGATTAATTCAGCGAATCACTCAGAATAATAAAAAAAACGTAATCCAAGTAATGGAATAACGACCTTACCTCTTTGAAGCCACCCATCTGCTAGATCAAACAGATAAATGGGTATGGTTTCCTGTCCAAACTAAATTGCTGAACCAAATTGAGGAGAAGGGCAAGACCATCACATAGTTTCTTATGAGCAAGAGAATCAGAGTGACTACAGACCCATTAAAAGTTCTCCAGGGCATTATGGAGTACCTTGCAGAGGGCCCAAAGGTGCTGCTTCTTAACAAAGATGTAAGTGCACTGCATAATATTTGAATTAGTTAGATTTTAACTATATCTGTTTGAAAAAACAAACAAACAAATGTCTTGAGCCAGGACACTGGCACTCTGCCAGTCATCATAGTAAATGACTACCAGCTTGATGTCCAAAATGTCCATCACCTTTAACCTCTCCCTGGGTGCTAAGCTTGACAGGAGGATTGGGAAGGCAGCCTCTACTCTAACCCGCCTGACAACCTGAGTGTGGACAAACCATAGGCTGACGACCGCAACAAAGATGGTGTTTGAGTAAATGTTACTCAATTTAGAGAGAGACCAAATATTCTTTGAACTGAGTAAATTGGAGTGAACATTGGTGGGCGCATGCTGAAAGGCAGAGGAATGCGCTGTCTTTGATAGCTCGCGACTTCATCTGGCACTTTCTGAGTACCTTTACATGGACACCAATACTCTAATTTTAATATGTTTAAGATAGTACTCTTATTAAGAGTCTACCATGTAAGCATAGATTTTTTTTTCTCTACCGTAAGTGTATCTGCTCTGCAGGCGCTGCGCACCTCCTCCTCTGGTTCTGCGCCAAGCGGACTGATTTTTAACATCTGATGACCCAATGCACTAAAGTACACATTCCAAGCACACCGGTGTAATCGTATGCTTAAGGGAATGGCCAATGTTTTATGATCACATGAGTCTCAGTGGTATGGTACGCGTCAAAGTGTTAGTGTTTTATTTTTTAGCATTTTTTATTCAGCGATTCTTCTGTCTATTAGAGCATGTTTTACTTTCGAAATGGGGTGTAAATTCATCTTAGGGTGCTTTCACACCTAGACTTTTGTTTTGGAATCTGTCTCGTTTGCCCAGTTAGAGTGGTTCAATTGGCATATGTCAATCCACTAATCGCACTCGGATCCGCGCCAAAACAAACGCTCTAAGAAACCCTCATGAACCTCACCACCGCATTCCTCCTAGCTCTTCAGACACATCGCGTGCACCTTGTCAAACACCTCCAAACCACCACCCCCCTGACAGCTGAGCGAGAATCTGCAAAATAAACCGTGAAACTCTGACCAATGTGAGGAGAGTTTACTCACACATGACTTGTTTTAGCTCTTTTTGGTCCGGTTAGAAAAGTTTATTCTTGTTGTCAATTGCGGAAAAAATTATCAATAGGTTTTCCAATAAACCGATGTGAGTTTATTGCAGGCGCTGCGTGATGCGTGTGCATGCGAAGGGGAGTCTGCTTTGTCCGGGGAGTCAGATTTTGAACCTCCTCTTGCGGGTGGACCCATGTGGTTTGTGCTATGCACTGGTCACTACTAACTGAATGGAGTAGGAGCACACAGTTACGCTTTGTTAAATAAATTTCATATAAAATTTACGTTTTAAAACCAGCCAAGTTTTGTCAAGCTGCCTATGCCATGTTTTACCTGCAAAATTAAATTCAAATCTGCCCTGAAAAAAAGTGTTGCATGCAGAACTGTTGCAAACAATTTATTTGTGTTGAATTTAAACAAACAAATTAAATTTAATCATATTTAATCAATTTTAATCAATGTCGCCTCACAGAAAGAAGGTCGCTGGTTCAAACCTTGGTTCAGTTGGCGTTTCTGTGTGGAGCTTGCATGTTCTCCCTGCCTTCACGTGGGTTTCCTCCGGGTGCTCTGGTTTCCCCCACAGTCCAAAGACATGTGATACAGGTGAATTGGATAGGCTAAATTTTCCGTAGTGTATAAGTGTGTGTGTGTGAATTTGTGTGTGGATGTTTCCCAGAGATGGGTTGTGGCTGGAAGGGCATCCGCTGCGTAAAAACTTGCTGGATAAGTTGGTGGTTCATTCTGCTGTGGCGACCCTGGATTAATAAAGGGACTAAGCCGACAAGAAAATGAATGAACAACCACTTAACGTTAAAAAAATTGAGTAAATCCAAGGAACACTCTTTAAATATTTTTTTTTTCAATGCAGTTGGGCGGGAAACCACCCAATCAAAGCATTTTCTCAAAATTTGGGTAAAAAAAGATTTGTCACCAAAAATCATTGTTCTAGCTGATGCACAAAAAGTTTTGGCCAAATTAAGACACAAAATCACCCCAGAGAAGATGAAAACATCCCCAACAGAATTTAGAGATAATAAATATATTTGTTTAATTAATCTGTTTTGTTCAAATTCACCCAAATATATGACCTATATTCCCTGAGAAAGGTATAAAAATATTCATTTTCAAATTGGGGTGTAGGGTGTCATAGTGGCGTAGTGGGTAGTACGATCACCTCACAGCAAGAAGGTCACTGGTTTGAGCCCCGGTGGGTCAGTTGGCATTTGTATGTGTTCTCCCCATGTTGGCGTGGGTTTCCTCCTGGTGCTCTGGTTTCCCCCACAGCCCAAAGACATACGGTATAGAGGAATTGACTAAGCTAAATTGGCTGTTGTGTACGTGTGTAAAAGAGTGTGTATGGGTGTTTCCCTGTGTTGGGTTGCAGTTGGAAGGTCATTTGCTTCATAAAACATATGCTGGATAAGTTAGTGGTTTTTTCCGCTGTGGCGACCAATGATTAATAAAGGGACTGAGCCAAAAAAAAAAAAAATAAATGAACATGGGCTGTACTCATTTATGTTTAACTCTGCACTGTCTTGTTGTTAAACTGTATTACCTGCAGGTTTTCATCCAGGGGTTAAAATCCCTTGCATTGAGCAATACATGTCCAGAGCTGCTCAGTGCTGTATTTTTCAGCAGTGTTTATATCTGGCCATGGCCTTACGGAAAGCTTTATAAATAACTGAGTTTTGACAACATGTTAACCCTCCACCTCTGCCAGCCTGACCACCATCTCTGTTCAAGTCCCCCAGGCATGTCCACTGGTCTTTAAAAGTGTAAGACACACACCACTTAGAATGATCCTCATAGCTTCTGAACATCTGAGGTCCGGGTAGACAGACCGCGTTAATGTTCATCACGTGCCAGGGTAGGGAGCAGTTAGAGGGGAGTTGATGAGCCTGGTGAAGCCATGATTCCACCAGTAGATCTGTCCCTAGTGCTTGAGCAACCCAGCCTGTGTAAATATCTGTAGAGAAAATGTTCAGCATGGATAAAGAGATTATATGTTATTTAAAAGCCCCCACCATGGGTTTTTGAAAATGACCTACCATGTAGTGTGTAACAGCTATAAGTAAAGTGAAATATCAACCTAAGGCTTAAATCTGAAAGTGCACAGTGTTTAAAACTATTGATTCATCTACAAAAGAGTCAACTAATTGTGTTTCAAATGAATCATCCTGATAACGAGTCTTTAGCCGTGCCGGAGTGACTTGGATGCAAAACGTAAGCCCCGCCCATTTGTTGTGTGGGCAAACAATGGCTGTTTCTCAATATGCGTTCTTCAGCGGTCTTGCGTCCTCGTGTTCTTGTGCAACGTCATCATCAGCTGCCTATATTCAGTTCCAATACTCAAGACCGCAAGTACGGAGGACGCGTGAAACTTCCCGGATGTGATCTTGATATCGAGGACGCACTGAAGCAGACTTGAGCACCGAACTCACTCTAGAAGTCCCAGAAGTCATTGCGACTGGAGGTGGGAAGCGCAGCATTTTATTTCGATTTATTATTTAAGTTCAGAGATATAATTTATTTACCTCAAGAGTTTCCCTAAATGAAACGGTGAAAGTAAACATTAACATGAACATCTTAATAAAGGAATAAACACATTAAGGGTTGTTTGTTTGATGAAATTCGTATTAATTTTTTAAAAATTTATATTGTGCAGAGTATATTTATAATGTTTTTATGCAAAGTATATATTTTGAAGAGGGGGGAAACAATAAATCGTTGTATGAAGGCTGTAATGTTTAAATAATTTCCATTTAAAACGTGAAGGTCACATGACCATCAGGAAGTAAGCATCATCCCATTTCCCAAAGGACGCATTCTCTGCCCTCGCGGTCTCCTGAGTTCGTTCTTCCGAGGACACCTGGCAAGACCGGTCTCCACAAGAACGCAAGTCCATTCTCTGCGTTCTTAGAATTGAGAAACAGCCAAGGAAAAAATTTAAACTCCCCGGCCCTGCCCACAAAAGCAGAAGAAGAACACGGCTAATTAATAAGGGCAATCGCCATCAGCTGGACAGGAGTGGGAATTACAGTTAGCTACAAATTAAAATAGCTCGCCCTCAAAATGACAGATCACCTTCAGATTTTTCCATCAGTGCTGAAAAAAATCCATCAATGACGGAAAATATTCGGTTAACGCGACCTTTGGTGTGTATATTATGATGGGATTAGTGAGGTATACTAAAATATTATGATAGCCTAATAGTGAGCAATTAAGTGAAAAAGCTGTCTTTTGTGCACTGCAAAGTCAAGTTTTTTAAAGCTATACGAATGTGTGTGAAAAAAACAAAGGTTGAACTTGAATCTTGTGCATGGCTACATAATCAGTGTAAATAGTTGCTTAAGCACAGTTTTGTACTTTGACATAATGCAGTGTCAATGAACTGCAGCGGTTTGAAAAAGGAGATTTGAAGAGCTCTCACCATCCACATAGTTCTGTGATTTGGCAAAACTGAAAAACGTCTGTCCTTGAACTGACTGCAGCTTTTGCAAACTCCTCCTGTTTTTTATGGCAGGTGTCTTTCCATCACAAATTTGTGCCATTTCTCCAATATCGGGGCGAAACGCCACAGGGACAGAGCAATTATACACACGTGGATTTAGATACGCTAACTGCCATGCTGTTAAGACAAAGGAATACTTATTTTAGATTTGTGAGCAGTTAAACGTATCATATAACATTGGAATCCCACGTGCTTACATATACGAGGGAATTGTGTATAGTTGAATGTAATGCAGAGCAAAGTCTGTCCGTAGTATTTTCCTGTGAGAGGGTAGCTGTAGTTTCTTTCTGGGAACGGAGGAAAATGAGGAACACTGTGTGTGAGCCAGAATCCCTGATCCTGGTCGAACATCAGCACCCCTGCAGAAAATATAAAGACAATACAATCACTCATAAATCCTCAAACAGTCAGAAACATTGATCCATCATTACAAGGAATGTTTATTTACAAATAGTGTTGGGTAAAATACTTTTATGCCTACCTTACTCTTAAAAAACAAAACAAAAGAATGCAAAAAAATAACATACTTTCAAGGGAGACTCGAGTGTAATACATTTCTTTTAAATGTAACTTTAGCTAACACTGTTCGTAAAGTAATTTCTCATGTGGACTATGCAGGAGAATGACTAAAAATAACCTTTATTACTGGGAACTAGGAGGTTAAACAAAGAAAGGATGGATAAACTATATATATGTATAATGAATCTGAGGCTACATATAATACTTAAACTAGGAATGTTGTGGGACTCCTATACAGGAGTTATTATTAGGCATTATAGATAGTGGAATTTAGCAGTTTTTATTTATTCATTTTTTTAAAGCATGATGACGGTAAAACACGAATGTGGTTATGACTATATTAAAATGTGTTTGTTTGTCTTCATAATAATGACAAAAATATTAATTTGTGGATCTCCTTACTTCCCAGTGCAACTATCCTGCCATTGTGGCTGGTGTATTCTGAGAAATTTTCTTACCCCTTGGTTTCGAGTGTGGTCCTGAAAAATCTTAATTTGAAGGGCTATCTACCCCATCCCCTTAGCCCTACGCCTTCAAGCTTAAGAGAATTGGGACAATCTTACCCCTTCGCGGGAACATGCAAAACAAGGGGTAAGGGGAAGGGCTTAGGGGTAGAATTGGGATTGGACCTAACTAATTCTACAGTCCGGGAGGACCAGGGGCCTCATGTACTAAGACTTGCGTGGAAATCTTACTAAAACATTGCGTATGCACAAAGCTGTAAATGTGCGTACGCAGAAAAAAATTCAGATGTATGAAACACTGCGTACGCCGAATCTCACGCATATTCTTTTGTACATCCGAATGAGCGTGAAACTGAGCGCAACATGCACGAGCACAAAACCCCTCCCTGCCTCCTCCCCCGTATGAATATGCTAATGACTATGCTAATGGCAAAACCCAACGAAAAAGCAATGGCAAAAGCAAGCAAAAAGAGAAACTTTGAACAGAATGTGAAATGGAGGTGCTGCTTTCAGAGGTAGACCGGAGAAAAGCGGTGTTATTTGCAAGTTTGTTCTCCGGAATTAACAACAAAAGAAAAAATAGAGTGGGAGAGTTTAGCTGATGCGGTCAACACAGTTGGGTCTGAACATATCGCACTGAATGCATTAAAAAAAAGACATAGTGTGGTTTATATCTGTAAAGTGTTGCAGTACGCTTAACAGTCTCAGTGGTGCGCTCGTTAGACGCATGTGTTCATAAATTGATACGTTCGAGCATGAACTCGGCTCGATTCCAGCGTCTGATGAATTCTTTCTTGTTTTTTCCCCCGCTACATATCAGATTTTGCCAACTATTTATCACGAGAAAGACAAGTAGGAATCATTAATAAGTTCATATCAATAAGCATCATATTTTATTTGCACATTTATTGAATGGAAATGTTTCTGATTCACGCATGCAAATTCATCTTCAGATAGTGTCTTTATAGCAATGTGCGTGCGGTAGATCGCTCAGATTACATTGGGAAAACAGGCGACTGCTGCAAATTGTGCTTTAATGTTTAACTGGTCAACTGTATGGTATGGAAACCTTATATACCTGCTAGATGAACCTGTCTCATACAGCTGCCATTGCAAGGCTCAGACACTTTGTAGAGAGGAATTTAACACAACTGCCTCTAGGAGTCGCCAATGGAAATAAAACAGACACGCACAAAAAATGTGCGTACGCCTGCCAGAAAGCTGCCGTGAAGCTGCGCACATTCCCACGTTCAGTTCATTGTTAGTAAATCCAAACGTGAGCGATTCTGAGCGTGAAACCTGGCGTACGCAAAGTTTTTGTGCGTACGCAGCGTTGATACATGAGGCCCCGGGAGAATTCCCTTTAGGCCAGTCCGTTTTTTGGCCGCGAGGGCCGGTGTCCCTAGCTGCTTGCACTTTCAGCAGTCGCACTTTATTTATTAATTTATTTATTTGACAATAGCCGCAGTCTTTTATTCATTATTTTGCTGCAGCTTCGCTCTTTTTTTTTTTTTTCTCGCAGCCCCGTGAGCCAAATGAAGCCTGCAGGTCATTTGACCCAAACAGCGGCACCTTGGTGAAAATAATAATTTGAATAATTAATACAAATGAATATTACACCTGCTCAATTAAAATTAGATGATTCAATACATTGATAAATCTGACATAACTTGGTCAGAAATTCAAAAAGGGGAAAACCACCATCACAGCGCCATTGTGGTCCAGTGGCCTCACCTGAATAATTTTAATATATTTTTTAGTGTTACTTAAAACTATAATACTGTTTGGGTTATTATGTAGCTGTAAAAATTTTTATTTTGTTGTGCGACAACCGTTACACAGGACTTTTTATGAAAAACATTTAAAATTCTAAAGCAGCTGTTTCCTTGAAAATGACGTGACATTAGAAACTGAACTGAACGTTTTTTTAATATAGTCAGTTGTGAACTGAGGTGGGCCAGTCTAAGGCTTGAAACTCCAGGGCTGAAAAGGAGTCCCACTCTGGCCCTGCTACAGTCCCCAATCTTCTGAATGCATAGTGTAAATAAATACAAAACACCACACACATAAAAGTACCTTTTGTATGTCCGTACTTGCTTGGGTACTTCAGTTCTGGTGGAGCATCATTGTAAAGCATATACACTGAGCTGTTGGACTGAAATGTAAAAAGTGCACTAATATGAGTGCAGCAAAAAGTAGTTATTGAGAGTTTGCTTACACTTTACAGAATCTGTTAAATTGTGAAGAATTGTAATAAAATAAGAGATCATACAAAATCTGTGAGAGACTATGCAGTATTGTCCTGAGTAAGACGTTTTAGATAGTGAACGTGAGCATTTGAATCTTTTTTATTTACTGTAATAGCTGTGTTTGAGTCCCTCAGTCCTCTTTAAAAGGAAAAGTTGGATCTCACAATCATACATTCACTACTGGAAAGGGTTCAAATCTGCAAAAGATGCTGAAAAACTGAAAAAACTGCAGGACACAGGAAATTTTTTGTCGAGAAAAGCAGCAGTTTAACTGTTCAGAACAAACAAGAGACTCATGAACAACCATTACAAAACAGAAAAACATGCATAGATCATTTGATAACCACACACACTGCTCAAAAAAGGTATATGCAAACTTTTGCAGTGGGTTGTTATTATATATATATATATATATATATATATATATGTGTGTGTGTGTGTGTGTGTGTGTGTGTGTGTGTGTGTGTGTGTGTGTGTGTTTTTGTCTTGAATTACATTAGTCAACATTTGACATCACAGTTGTCCTTCAGTTACTGAACAACACCCATTCAAGTCTTGCTATTTTTTAAATATTCACTTTGAATGTGAACTACTGTATCTAAACATCTTTTATCTGAAATATCTTACCCAGAACACTACTAAATTAAAAAAAATAACAACATTTTAACAGATTCTGCGAAGGGTATGCACACTTTCAAGCACAAATGTACACTACCTGACAAAAGTCTTGTCATCGATCCCAGTTGTAAGAGCAATAAATAATAACTTGACTAATAGTTGATCATTTGGAAAAGTGGCAGAAGGTAGATTTGTTGTCTGTTGAACTTCATCCCATTCATCACAAATACTGTAGGAGACCTATTCAAACCCACCTGGACCTGGAGATTCTCAAAGAAATCGGTCAAGTTTGGTGAAAAAAATTATGGTTAGGGGTTATATTCAGTATGGGGGCGTGTGAGAGATCTGCAGAGTGGATGGCAACATCCAAGATATTTGTGCTGCCCATTGCATTACAGGAGAGGGCAAATTCTTCAGCAGGATAGCGCTCACTTCAGCCTCTACAGCAAAGTTCCTGAAAGCAAAGAAAGTCAAGGTGCTCCAGGATTGGCCAGCCCACTAACCAGAGATGAACATTATTGAGCATGTCGAGGGTAAAATGAAGGAGGAGGCATTGAAGATGAACACAAAGAATCTTGATGAAGTCTGGGAGTCCTGAAAGAATGCTTTCTTTGCCATTCAAGATGACTTTATTAATAAGTAATTTGAGTTATTGCAGAGATTTATGGATACAGTCCTCCAAGCTCATGGGATTCATACACAATATTCATATAATCAATACTCAGTACTCACTTTTGTCTAAGCCAGGGGTGTCAAATGTACGGGCCCCCGGGCCGGATTAGACCCGCATACAGGTTTAATCTGGCCCGCGAGATAATTCTGTAAAGTATAAAAACAAGCTGCAATTTTTCAATAAAAGAAACTGCTGTCCCAGTTGTGTCCACTGGATGGCAACTTCATTCATGTCCCTGTTGACCTGTGGTTCTCTTTGAATCTGTGCATGTTAAAAAAGTAGCTTTAATATATATATATTATTTAGTTTTAATTTGATATATAATTAAATTTAAATAATATTATATATTTTTTAATATAACGCTAATAATAGAAAATAATTGAAGGCAAAACAAATATACAATATATATTATATAACAAATATATTATATTTGTGGCACCCACACCCCTAAACCCAACTATCATTGGTGGACAAGCAAATCGTACTAAATTGTATGAATGAGATTGTATAAATCCATATGAATTAGCAACTAAATCAAAAAGTTCAGAAATTCTGTGAGTTCGTGTCGTCCTCACGCTCCAGCTTTATGTTTTATGTTGATCGTATTAAAACAAAGAAAACAATCTGAAGTTGTTGTTTTTAAGTTATATAAACCATGATTTTACTGGTCCGGCCCGCTTGGGAATAGATTTTCCCCCATGTGGCCCCTGAGCTAAAATGAGTTTGACACCTCTGGTCAAAGTAAAGTCAGACCTCACTGTCCTACTGCCCTAATTAAATAATTAAGAATCAAGGCATGATCATATTTTATTTTGGTAAAATAATCTAGAGGCCTTTAACTTTCATATACGCCACTTCTGATAGCAAATGATCAATTATTATTTGTTGTTCCTAAATTTGGATAGGCGACAAGAATTTTGTCTGGTAGTGTATATAGATCAGTGAAACAATTGTCTGTTAAACAATCCTTATAAACAACAAAGAGCCCTGTTAAAAATGTATATTATCAATTTTACAAACATTTTCAATAGCCATAACAATTAAGATTTATATTACAGATGGTTGAAGATTATAATAATTATAATGATCATAGAGCTTACTGTATAGCCAGAGTAGAGCTGTGTCAATGTTCTTCCTAAAGCTCCAGTACTGCTGTTGACTGTATATTTACTTATCTGAAAATCCATGATGGATGGGTCCAGATACATGTAGTCTACTCCGCTTCCCTTAACCTCCATCTTGTAAATGGGAAGTTTGTACATAATAAACCTTTTAGAAGATTGCAGAATTACAATGCTGATAGACATCATTGCATATAAAGTGCACTGCTATATGATCAACGTCAACAATCAGTTAACTATTTATTTAAACCTACCAGTCCACCGGCTGACCATCCTCATTTAAGCAGGATATCACTGCCTCCGAGAAACCCATCAAAAACAACAAGCAGCACGCAGAAAGTTGAAACAACACAAACATTTCTGTCTGGAAATTGTCTAAGCTTCCTGTTTGAATGACAACAGAAAGAGAGACGTTTTCTCTAGTTCCGAGCAGCTACCGTAGTGTAAAAAAGAGGAAGTGTGTCTCATGACAGACATTATGCAGCTGTAATCTAGAGACAAAAAAGAAGCAGCGATGTTAGGAAGCTTTCCATGAAAGAGACTGGAGACATGAAAATCTGGTTAAGAAATCCAGAATTGCAAATTTCTCCCCTAAACCGTGTAAATTAGGGTCACGTACTATCAATGATGTGACCATACAAAGAACGTATGTGTGTGCTGTGTGGAGATGTCAGGCTTTTAAGGAACTATTGTTCACACATTTTTCAAATGTTTTTTTAATTGCGTAATATGCTTTGCTCCCCCCTCTTGAAATTAGAAGAAAAAAAGCGAGGCAGCGCATGATTTTGTACTTTGGGAACCGAATGGATTGTTGGAAGATGGGTGTTGCTAACAAAATGAAGGAAGATTGACGAATAGATACAGGCAGAGCAAAACCAGACACACCCTGCTAGGGCCTCCTGAAAGGCATTCCATATGACCAGAGGTGAATTTAAGGGCCTACTCACACTATGACATCCGTGCCGTGCTCAGGCTCGTTTTCCAGATCGTTTGAGAAGTGTGAGTGCGCTGAATAGGGCTCAGGCACTGTTCACTTGGCCGGCCCTGGCCCGGTTGGAAGAGGTGTGCCTGAGCGCGGTTCACTTGGGCTTTGGCGTGGTACGCTTGTGTGTGAGTGCAAAACGCGCCAAAGCACGAAACTGAAAGCGAGACGTGACTTTTAAGGGACTGTTTCATATGGATTTATTAATCAATCCTACTGTTCAGTGAACGCAAACTGCCGTAGTTTATAAAAGACGCAAACTCCTCACTGCACGACAGCTGCGCGCCTTCAGGAGACCTCCTTATTCCTGCAGCACGAGGGCTTTATAATTGTTTATGAGCGGCAAAAGTGGCGGATCTGTTCGGCGAAATATCTGACTGCGTGTCACCGCATCCCTAAGGACTGTTTGGCAAAATATTTCACTGCATGTCACTGCATAACAAACGACTGAAACGATATAACTAGAGAAATCTCCACTGTGCTGCTGAGTGAGAGAGCGCTTCTCACTGAACAGCGCAGCAGCGATGATGTAAGCGTGCCGAGGCCCGATATGGTGTGAGTGCGTGTTGTCGGGGGAGACGGGAGGGGGGACAATCGTGCTTTGGCCCGGTTCGAGGCAACTAGTGTGAGTACGGCCTGAGTTGTTTCAAGGAGGGCAGGGAAGGTTATGGTATTTGATAAAAGATTATGGAAGCAAATGAATTTTTACAAAATAATAAAATGCACAGATCCATTGTTTAAGCTCTAATACATACATATATAAAAATGAGAAGAGTACATTTTGATTTCATGGTGACTTTAGAGGGATTTTAAGAAGAAAATGTATTCACTATTTACTCACCCACACACACACACTATGGACAATTTAGCCTACTCAATTCACCTGTACCGCATGTCTTTGGACTGTGGGGGAAACCGGAGCACCCAGAGGAAACCCATGCGAACGCAGAGAGAACATGCAAACTCCACACAGAAATGCAGAGGCTCGAACCAGTGACCTTCTTGCTGTGAGGCGACAGCACTACCTACTGCGCCACTGTGTCGCCTTTTGTAACATTTTAATCCTTTAATTTTTTTCATGTATATATATATATGATACAGATATTTGTGTATTGCTGTACATCCTGTCTGTATTAAGCAATGTGTGGGCCTGCATATGTGCATAACTAATGCGCTCTGCACTGGATTTTAGAGCAGCTTGTAACAAGTAAAAATGGGATAAGGTTCCTTTAAGAGGGAGAATCGCCATTTTAGGTGTGTGTGTTGACAGTCCGCAGACGCATGTAACACCAGAGGCATAACACGAGAACCGCATGTGTGCAGCTCCGATGTTTATCTTTGTCTTTCTGATGCTCGAATTAAGTTATTTTTCTGTAAGATACAGTGACGCTGTTGAAAGGGAAATAAACCCCCTGCTGTGGACTGCGACCCGTGTGAGGTTTGATTTGTTTTTCCTGCTACAACATGAGTTGGATGAGCTATCCTGTATTTATTACCTAACTCTACGCGTTACAAACTTTTAGTTGGTCAGTGGTGCGATCTTTTTCAGTTGCTCTAAATAGCAACGCTCCAACAATGAGCCTTAACGCACCTCCTTTTTAAACCAGCAGAAAACTGAGTCCACAAGTGGCGCAAATGGATTTGCTATTTAAACAACGTAGTGCAACATATAAAAATTATAGTTGCGCTGGTCTGAAAATAGCAACAAATCGCGCCAAACTCGTCTTGCACCTTATTGCGCCAGGTGTGTGATAAGGCTCTAAATCTTAACTTGTTAAACTTGCGTCACAAGATTTACTCCTCTACCGCAGCTCTCGGCCCCGCCCACACTCATCACCACCACCAAGCCAACTAATCATAGCTCTTGTGCTAAGCAGTGCTGCAAATTCTAGTTACATTTTTGAGAGTTATTCGACAGGATTTGGTGAAGGGTTAATGCAACTGTGCAAAGGCATCGCCAGACCATCTGTGCACACTTGACTCAGAAGTATGAACTGGCCTTAATGCTTTATGAGTTTGTTGAACAAAGCAGAAGCTATTTTGAAGAAAGCTGAAAATAGTATGGCTGTAGAAAAAACAGATACAGTGAAAGTCAATGGTAACAGGTATCCAGCTTTCTTGGAAATACCTCCTTTAATGTTCAACAGAAGAAAGTAACTCATAAAAGTTTGAGTAAATGATGTCAGAACTGTCTTTTTTGGGTGAACTATCCATTTAGTTATCCCAGAAAACCCTTTGACGACTATGAAATGTTACCAGCTTAAGCCACATTTTCTCCTGTCCCTCAAAAAATATGCTGAACTTTGGTTGATTTAGGGGTGGTGAAGGGGGAGCAGTCGGCCACATGAATTTGTGGGTCATGGACAGGGCGAAGAAGGACGTGACAGTGGTCACCGTGTAAATAAAAAGAGAAAGATGGCTTGTTTTTGGAGGGTTATCAGCAAATCACCACCTCTTTGCATGGTTGTGGAGGTGGGACAGATCACTGAACATTTGGACCAATTAAAAACACGATAACTAGTATGTGACGCCACCTCTTTAGCAAAACCCTTTGCTCTATCCAAAATCTCCTCCAATCACTGGTGCAGTCAGCGGTGACTCCTGAAACAGGCATGGCCACTACCTCAAATCAGGTAAAGGAAGGGACTTTTCATTAAATGTTATGGACACGTTATCAGACTCTCTTTCAAAAAAGAAACATTTCAGCTGCATTGACATTTACTAATGTGTTTCATCTAGAATGTGGAGTTCGTGAGAACCGGCTATGGAAAGAATATGGTTAAAGTTCTTCACATCCGGCGTGAAGGGAACCATCACCATATTATTGAGCTGATTGCAAACGTTCAGTTAACCCTTAAGACCCGCAAAGACTATCTAACAGGAGACAACTCTGACATCATCCCCACTGACACCGTCAAAAACACCGTCCACGCTCTTGCCAAACTAAAAGGGGTAGGCATTTTTATTTGTTTAATGTAACCCTTTTTTCATGGTCAGGTAGGGTAAAGTAAGTGATTCTCAAGGCACGTTTGAACTATGAACTGTCATTTTAGGTCATGTCTGTATAAAATAAAGCACAAGATTTTATATATATATATATATATATATATATATATATATACATACAGTTGAAGTCAGAATTATTAGCCCCCCTGACTTATTAGTGCCCCTGTTTATTTTTTCCCAAATTTCTGTTTAATGGAGGGAAGATTGTTTCAGCATATTCCTAAGCATAATAGTTTTAAAAACATTTCTAATAACGGATTTATTTTAAATTTGCCATGATAACAGTAAATAATATTTTACTTGATATTTTTCAAGACACTTCTGTACAGTTTAAAGTGACATTTAAAGGCTAAACTAGGTAAATAAGGTGAACTAGGCAGGTTAGGGTAATTAGGCAAGTAATTGTATACGATGGTTTGTTCTGTAGACTATCGAAAAAAAAATTGCTTAAAGGGGCTAATAATTTTGTCCCAAAATTGGTTTTTAAAAAATGTAAAACTGCTTTTATTATAGTCGAAATAAAACAAATAAGACTTCCTCCAGAAGAAAAAAATATTATCAGACATACTGTGAAAATTTCCTTGCTCTGTTAAACATCATTTGGGAAATATTAAAAAAAGAAAAAAAAATCAAAAGGGGGCTAATAATTCTGACTTCAACTGTGAGTGTGTATATATATATATATATATATATATATATATATATATATATATATATATATATATATATATATATATAACAAAATGATATATAATTCTTGTCTTGCAGATTAAAAGCATTGAGAGCTTTGCACTGGATATCTGTGAACATTTCCTCACAGCGTTCAATCATGTCACAAGAGTGAAGGTCAACATTGATGAAGTTCCCTGGAAAAGACTGGAAAAGGTGCTGTTACTGCTACACCAAACTACTATATATACAGTACAAAGGCTTTAAAAAGTATTTAAGGGTCATTATATGGAGACGTCACTTTTTCTGTCCTTAGCTTTGACAGAAATAAATAAAACTGCTTGTCCTCACAGTGCTTTATTTTGAGGTCAAAAACAGATGTTTCTACCATTAAAGTAGTAGTTCCCTGGAATTGTGTCACACAGTTTAACAAAAATCTCTCTTTTTTTAAATAAAAATCTCTCTAGTGACATAATTTGACATATACTTCCTATTTTCTAAAGATATATGAAGAAAGGTTCATTGTAACACCCCTATCATTTTTAAATATTAGTCATATTTAGCTCATGATTTAATATGAAGCTTTTAATTGGCATCACCTCTTAGGTAACCAAAAAAATAAATAAAAAAAATAAAAATGAAAAGAAGTAAACTACTTCATTTAGTAGTTCAAATCCTTTAGTTCAATACTATAATTGTCAACACGTTTTTAGATACACTAAAAAAAAGATTTAAAGAAGATTCCATGGAATACATTTTTTAGGGTAAGTGGTTGTAAAGAATTATTTAGGCTCAATTCAAACAAACAAACAGTCAGGTTGATCATCATTACTACATTTAATTTGTTTAAATTCAACCCATATACATTGTTTGTAGCAATTTTTTTTTTCAGTGTACCTTGCAGCAGACCTTTTGTAAAATGCTTTTTTTTATTTATAAATGTCACTGGTGTTACTTTTCTTATGGGTGACACTACTGAATATTGTTGCTTTTCTTACTGGTAATTCCTTGTGTCACTGGTATTTAATTAATTAAAATGTGTCGTGATACATAATACACTCCCTCTCTCTCTCTCTCTCTCTATATATATATATATATATATATATATATATATATATATATATATATATATATATACTGTATATATATATATACTGTATATATATATACTTTACAGCTTAAAGTGACATTTAAAGGCATAACTAGGTTAATTAGGATAACTAGGCAGGTTAGGGTTATTAGGCAAGTGATTGTATATCAGTGGTTTGTTCTGTAGACTATCGAAAAAAATATATATATAGCTTAGAAGGGGCTAATAATTTTGACCTTAAAATGGTTCATAAAAAATGTAAAACTTTTTTTTGTTTCTAGCGGAAATAAAACTTCCTTGCCCTGTTAAACATCATTTGGGAAATCTTTTAAAATGAAAAACAAATTCAAAAAGGGGCTAATAATTCTGACTTCAACGGTATAAATATATATATGTTCAAATTACTTATTTAAAATGAGCTGAATCGACGCAATTCTTGAGGGTTTTTTGGTGACAACTGAGTTGTTTTGCGGGAAATTAAACTACATTTAGAAATAGTTTTGAAACAAATCTTAGCGCTTAACAAACTAAATTAAATATGTAGGCTGATGGATGTCTTCAGTGGGGTGTATACAACACTATTTCCTTAAGAGGTGCACACTTAACAGGCTAGCCAGCTAATCCAGCTAATCAGGCTTCATGGTAAAGGCCCCAGTTTTGAAGTTGTGCAGACTTTCATGTTATATTTTATAGTTGATTAACACTTGTTTGTGTTTAACAGAATGGAGTTGAGCACAACCATGCTTTCATCCACTGCCCTGAGGCTTTGCGCTTCTGTGAAGCCGAACAATATCTGAGTAGTGAGTACAAATGAGAGAGTCAACAAGTGATAGTGGTCTACTAAGAGAACAACTAGTATTGCTTTATTTCTGCAAATGTATTTAATGTTTTTGTTGTGTTTTTCTCAGAGACTCCAGTGGTTCACAGTGGTCTAAAAGACATGAAGGTATTGAAGACTACACAAACTGGATTTGAGGGCTTTTTGCGAGATCGTTTCACCACTCTGACTGATGCAAAAGACAGATTCTTCTGTACTTCTGTCTATGCAAGATGGCGCTACAACACGATAAATGTGGCATTTGACGCTGCATGGTGAATGAAACACTTTAAAACATGCCATAATAAAAAGCAGATCATTTAAATGTGCAATAAATGTTATGCTTTATATGTTTTCTGTGCAATTTTTTTGTAGGAAAGCTGTTAAGGACACCGTCATTCAAAAGTTTGCAGGACCCTACGATCGTGGGGAGTACTCTCCTTCTGTTCAGAAAACTCTCTATGATACACAACTCCTGGTACTTGACAGAATTCCAGAGGTAAGTCAGACTGATGTCTAAAGGCATTGTGTAACTTTTGTTAGTGGTGTTTAAAGAGTTATTCTGTTATTATTGTTTAGACTGTTTTCATACACTCAGGGGTAATTTTGAGTCTTTATTTGGCCACAACTTTATCTGTTTCCCAGCAAATGTAACTTTTTTTTGGTGATAAACCGTATTATGACACATATTTTGGGAAAATGCTGAGGAAAAACTCAACAAAACACTTTGGGCAAATTTACTAAACTTTCGTTATGTTTGTGGCAGTTTTTCCCTATTGATGTCTATTATTATGGTGTGTTCACACTAGACATGAATGAAGCATCAAACGTGAGTAGTTTACATATTAAGTCAATGCAAAGATGCAAATAGACATTCGGCGGTGTGAATGAAGCAACGCGAGTTTTGTGAGTTTGACACGCCGTATTATCCAATCATGAGCTTGCTCTTCTAGGGGCGTGATTATGACGTAATGCTTGTTGTTGGCACCCCTAGGGGAAATAGTGGGAAAACGGGTCCACCCCTGCAATCGAGTCCACTTAGGACTGCTAAGGTATCGTCTGTGGTGAATGCCTGATCAAAAGCTATTATTGTGATACCTTGTTGTGTGGTTAATCAGAGCTGTGTTAGCTTGTAGCCAGAAGGCTAACATAACGGGAATGATTCTGCTAGCACATAAGCTAACTGGTCAAACTAAACAATATAAAAGATATATAATGTAATTTAATATTATACATGCTCATTTTCATAGCCCATGCATGCCTTTAATTATACATAAGTAATCGAAAGGATCAATATAACGCTTATACATGCCATTTTAATGGTGAAATGAAATAGTCACGCTTTTTCATTCATTCATTCATTCATTTTCTTGTCAGCTTAGTCCTTTTATTAATCCTGGGTCGCCACAGCAGAATGAACTGCCAACTTATCCAGCATATTTTTATGCAGCGGATGCCCTTCCAGCTGCAACTCATCTCTGGGAAACATCCACACACTCATTCATACACACACTCATACACTACGGATAATTTAGCCTACCCAATTCACCTGTACCACATGTCTTTGGACTGTTGGGGAAACCGGAGCACCTGAAAGAAACCCACGCGATCGCAGGGAGAACATGCAAATTCCACACAAAAACACCAACTGAGCCGAGCCGAGGTTCGAACCAGCGACCTTCACTACCTACTGCGCCATTGCGTCGCCAGTCACGCTTTTTACATTCTATAAATTATTAACGTGATTTTATATACTGTACTTTATAATTAGCCACTACAAACTATACCTATTACAATTCAAGCAAAACAATATGATCACTCGTGGTCCTATAGGCAGACTCAATTCTCAGGGGGGAATCTATTTCTCATGACACCAGACCACAGTTCATTAAACTTGGCTCCGCTCAGTCTGAAACACCACTGAAAGCTTTCATCATCCAGGTACAGTTTCTGGAGGAATTGATGAACTCACAGAGCTGGATGCACCTCGGAAAGGATCTGGTGGAATCAGACACAGAGCCGAACTAATTGATGCTGTTTTTCAGCCTTCCTGAAGCACATAAACACAGCTACTCTCTTAATAAAATCCATGTTAACCATTTAGCAACAAAGTTACATCTGCGGTCACACAGGGCTTTTCCTCCCATAGACTTCCATTCATATGCACGCGAATGCATCAGACCGGAAACGCAGGGTCATGCGTCAATTTTCGCAGGTTGCTGCGGTGCAAAGTTCAAGCTTGGTGAACTCTGACCTGCGAAATCACATAACTTGACTGCGTGTGATCACTTGAGGATCAAAACATGACATCTCTGGACAGAAATTTAAAACATGGAGCAATCGCTCGCTTTTTTTATTGCCTAATAAGCTTGTTAAAACCCGCCCCTTTTCGCAGCGCCGTACGTAAGAATTTCGCGCATACAAACTCTAGCATGACTGTAGCTTAAGGAAGGGGTGTCCAAAACTCGGTCCTGGAGGGTCGGTGTCCTGCCTATTTTAGTTCCAACCCTAATTAAACACACCTGAACCTAATCAAGCTCTTTCTAGGTGAACTACAAACTTCCAGGCAGGTGTGTTAAAGTAAGTTGGAGCTAAACTACGCAGGACACCGGCTCTCCTGGACAGAGTTTGGACACCCCTGGTTTAAGGAAACCGATTGCTATGAACCATGTGTGTTCAAAAACTAATCCTTATGTGTACTGTGAACATTTCAGTTGAAGTAATGAGATAATTAGTTAGCAGCAGGTGTACATTATTAATGCTCAATCAACACGGAGGCTGCGTCCAAAATCGCCTACTACTCAGTAAGTACTGCATTTAAATTTAAACCTACTACTCGGCCATTAGAAAAGTATGTTCTATACAGAATGAATGTGAAAAGTATGAATGGAATTCGGACGTACTACATCCGCCATTTTGTCGTGGTCACGTAACCTACCTGCATCAGTTGCGTCGCTTCACTCCCATTCATGAATTCTCTCAAGGGGCATCATGGGATAGCGCAGCGAGCATGGGATGCGCACTTCAGGATCTCGCCGGAAGTAGTAGGTCATCCAGGTCACTTCTTGCATACTGATTTTCGAATTCTATGAATTTGGACATACTACTCGGCTCACATACTGATTTTAGCGTACTGTATAGTATAGAAGTATTCGTTTTCAGACGCAGCCTGAGTTCAAAACTCTAGAAGAAGTAACTTCCAGAAAATTTTGAGATAACTGTGCTCATTTCAATTGATAAATCTGACTATTGGGTTTTACAGTGTTGTTGGGAAGAAGTATATAACGAAAGGTACAGGCCACATGGATATAACGAAAATGGAATGAATTTAAACAATACACAAGGGTTAAGAATTGAATACTGTACACAACCCTTTATGGATGTCCTTGAAGGACTTACTGATTTATTATATAACTTAATTTTATACAAACGAAGTAGAAAGTCTTATTTAAATGTCATTTTTGAAATGATGTATTGTCATTACAGGTTGAGGAAATTGAGATAATTATGCCGAACCAGCATTATTTTGTCATCGACATGACAAAAATAGGACTCTCGAACAAGGATGAGGTGAGTGAAATTTACAAAAAGCGTAAGTGACATGCACGTCATCAGTTCAGATTGATTTGAACTTCTATTAAAAGTCCAAAGATTTCAGGCTTTGACAATGGCCTTTAGGGCTGCCCCTCTTTAGAATGACTTTATTGCTAGATTTCGAAAAACCACACACATATGAACATAACGAATGTTTTTCCCATTTCACCTTAGAATATAATGGATATGTGGAGTATTATTTTCTAAGTATTACATGTAAATATATATCTTTCAGGTTTATCTTCCTCTTGATAATCCATCAGGAAACATCACAGGCACTGTGTGCAGAAAACCACGAGCCAGAATGTGAAGACAAGCAACCTTCACGAACCAGACATCTCATGTACACAAATCAAATAAAGTATATGATGCAATCTAGCATGGTCAGTCGTCTACATTTCAACAAACAAAATTTGAAGAATTATTAATAGTTTTATTTATCACACTAAGGAAAACATTTTTGAAAATAAAACAATAAATTGAGATGAAAACATTGCCCTATATGTGGGATTAACACACATTGATATCTTGAGAAAATCCAAAATTTCCACAGAAATGTGTATGTTTAGACTTTACAGTGTCTTTTTTTTTTTAAAGGTGAAGTTTGTAAGTTTGACATCCAGTGGCTGAACTAGGTATTGCACACCTGGATCAAAACACATTTTCACTCAGTTCCTATATCCAGCTGCAGACCCACACACGTTTTACATATGATCTAGGCAGGGGCGAACCATTTATGATTAATGACATATCAGTCTTCTACTTTTTCTTGCTTAACGACGACTAACTGTTTAGGAGCAATATCGCCATCTGTATTTCACAACTTTAGGGTTTCCAATACACACACACACACACACACACACACACACACACACACACACACACACACACACACACACACACACACACACACACACACACACACACACACACACACACACACACACAGTTGAAGTCAGAATTATTAGCACCCTGAATTGTACAATTTCTGTTTATTTTAACACGTGTTTTTTTTTTTTCTCAACACATTTCTAAACATAATACTTTTAATTTCTTCTAATAACTGATTTATATAATCTTTGTTATGATGACAGTAAATAATATTTTACTATATATATTTTTAAGACACTTCTATACAGCTTAAAGGGCCATTTAAAGGCTTAACTGGGTTAATTAGGTAGGTTAGGGTAATAAGTTATTGTATAATGATGGTTTGTTTTGTAGAAAATATATATAGCTTAAAGCAAACCATCACTGGGAAACATCCATACACACTCAATCACACACTATGGTCAATTTTAGCTTACCCAATTCACCTATAGTGCATGTCTTTGGATTTGTGGGGGAAACCGACGCGAGCATCCCAGTGCGCCACAATGTCACCTATTATATATGTATATATAAACAGTGAATTAGTTTGTTTTACTACACTTGTTGCAGCAATTACCACAAATTACGAGTACTTTATGGTTTAAAAACAATGTATTACTTTCTATAAATTACTAAAGTATTTAATGTGGGGAAAAAATTATTTGAAAATAAAATACTAGTCAATCTCTGGAGTAAAATATTAATATAGTGTTATACATTTATTAAATGTAAGAGAATTTGTATTAAATGTAAAGTATTATATGCATATTATCCCGCTATTATTTCCTTCATTATAGTGGATCTATAATATAAATTAAACCTGTCCAATTTAGATTTTTTATATATCTTTGAAAAATGTTTCAGCAAAGCCAGCCAAAGAGTGCTATACTGACCTACTATACTGACTCCGTCAGATAAACATTGCCTGATTATCTATAATGACTGATAGAAAACTGTTCAGTCTATTATATTGAATGACCATCAACGTTCCCTATTCGCCCATCTCGATTTGTGTTCATATTTGTAAAATAGTATACACTATTGTCTATTTTTTACACCATTTTTATTAACACTATATGTAAAAATATATTGATGACGAGGTCCAAGAAGACGTTAATAACATTAACATCCACCATAACCATATATGGTTTGCCCCTGCCTAGATCTTGTGTGCTGGATTGTGAGGGTCTGCAGCTGGATATTAATGACCTCCGAGAGTTCAAGCAAGCGTTTTGCCAGATTGACGCGAGTGTGCCTGACTATTGAGCCTAAAGGGTAAATTGAACTGTTTTCTAACTAAAAGCAATGGCAAGCCACCGAAGAAATATTTTCCATATTATAGGATAAGGATTATAAGATCCAACACAACCAACTGACATTTATATTGTAGAAATGGCTTCTATGTCTCACTGGTGAACAACAGGATAAACTGATCACCTCAGGGACACCTCATGTGATTTATTCAGTGTTAAATGCTAATAATGCGAGTTTAAATGCCATTTTAAATGACATGTATTGCCATATACTGAAAGCAGCAGCAGATACCTCAGATCTTACAAATAAAATAAAACATTTAAAATTAAACTTTAGAACTGACTCCGCGCAAGCCAACACATATCAGTGACTCAGCACCTTCATTTAATAATGTTAGCAAGGTTAAATATGTTTTAATAACCACCTCATGTGGAACTCTGAATCTGCGTCTCATTTCTGAGTCTGTTACTGTCCACCAGAAGTCGCATTTCAGTTGCGGATGCATACTTTGAGAGCAGGTAAAGGGACCAAATCAAAGACAGCCATTCCAGCACGTAACACACATTTTCAAAGCAGAATATCTGAATTTAGCATTGTTTTTTCAGATAAACAAGTATGTTAACTTAGCATGTTAAATATCTGCAAACGTTATGGTATTTTCATGCTTTAAAATAGTAAAAACCTACATAACGCACTTTTAATTCAAGTTGGATTTAATGTTTGAGTTTTTAACCATGATTATCTTTAGCTTCATAACCTTAAAGTAGAGATATAAACAAAAAATAGTGTCAGATAATAGATAAACAATATTATCAAATATACTCAAATACCACACATGCAAAGGAAATAAAAACAGCACTTCAGTGTTTCCTCTAGGATTTTTTCAAGCTGTGGCGGCAGACTCTGTTGGCCATTTTACACAGATCTACCACTACATGTGGCGTTATTTCATTGACAAATGTCATGGGCACAGTATTAAGTCAAGATCGCATTCATAGCGTATGAGCCTATGAGCATGTCAATCTCTGCTTGAGCGCCGATTTCCTCTGTGCACAAAACTAACTGCGCGCCCTCAAATATCCGCTGCTCAAGTGCACATTTTCTTGCACGTCCTCAAATAAGAAGTGTGATTTAGTGCGTTCATGTACCGAGCATGTCTCCAACATTTATTAGATTTGCTAGGAATATTTATGAATGTCTCCGATAGACTTGCGGAGCGGACCACGGCATTAATGCGCCCTGAAGTAAAGTGAAAAGGCTATAAACTCTAGCAAGATAAAGTCACAGACCTTTATCTATAATTAAAGTATAATTATTGAAACTGTGTTCATCATAACTGAAAGCTACGCCGTGTTTGCTGGTCTTATGCATCACGCACCTGTCAGTCAAGTCAGTCAGCACGCAACCTTAAAGGGTTAAACAGAACGCACAGCACTACTACGGTCACAGAAAAGTTTGCACTGTTATTATTAACTTACCTTTTCATACGTTTACAGTGCGATTTTAACCTGCTATTTAAAAAACGACCAAATCTTTTTAAATAGAAGCTGTAATGTAGCCGTGGCGGGATGAATTTTGGTGTGGCGCCCCACCATGGAAGAATGAATGTAGCGGAAACCATGCACTTCAATAACAATCAAGAAGTCGATTTTTTTCAGCAATCTGAAAAAGCACCATTTATTGCAGGCTACACTCACATTCGTTTCACCTTTTTAAAACACCCTGTATCACAAGCTGCTTCAGAGTCGCAGCGTATCTGTCAACAACAACAATTCACCAATCCATTAGGAATCACACTGTTAGTTACAGAATTAAATAAATAAACAGAATTTATAACAGCACAAAGGCCTGTCATCCCGGCAGCATTCCTGCAAACAAACCCGTCATCCGTTGAGCCTTTATAGCTGTAAACCACAGCAAATCTATCATTTTCAGAACATCCGATCAGTTTGTATATCAACAGATTGTTAAAAACTGGAAAAAACAAAAAGGAAAGCAACCACCAACAAACCATCAAATCAACTGTGACATGAATGTCCCTCTTCAATTAAACTTCATCACGCGTTACACTGAAACATCTTTAAGGGTCGAGTTTCATTTTTTTTTTCTCCAATTTTACATCACAGTTCACTTTTATTAAAGTAAGAATTTAACCTTAAAAGCAATAATGAGTTATGTACAAGCACACAAAATCAAAACCCGAACGAACACACTATTAAACAAAGGTAAAGTGAAAACAGTAAGTGTGCCTGTAATGCTGAACGAGGCGTTAAAAGCAATAATTCACCATGTGTGTGTGTGTGTGTTTTTCTTCAAGATGCATCAAATGTGTGTTAGTTTTGTCTGCAGTTACCCTGCTGTGATTGTCTTCCGTGTGTCCACGCAGCGGCAGCGGCTACGAGACGTTACTTTTTAAGTGTTGGGTTTGGAGAGGCTTGACATGATACTCGTATATCTTCAGTGCAGGACCCAGTTTTATCGAAAGTCCGGTCAGAACGTCGTTACGAGTCATTAATAAAAGGGATTTGCCGTCGATTTCCTGTAGGGAAGCAGACATTTATTAGGACAGGCATTAAGATAAAAGCAATAACTAATGTATTTTAATTTGACGTCTGAGTCTACTACTAAAACTACTGTATTAAAAACAACATTTTTAGATTGAACCTATTGTTGACAAACTATAAAGCGCTTCATTTTTTCCACACTTTTTTATGTTACAGCCTTATTCTAAAATTAATTAAATTCATTTAATTTAATTTCCTCAAAATTCTCCACACAATACCCCATAATGACAAAGTGAAAAAAAACGTTTTTGAAATTGTTGCTAATTAATTCAAAATAAAAAACCTGAAAAAACCTGACCTGGGAGGCCAGCCAAAACCAGCTATATCCAGCTTAAACCAGGCTGGTCAAGCTGGTTTTAGCTGGATTTAGCTAGTCATTTTCCAGGCTGACCAGCTAAGACCAGGCCAGAAATGGCTGGAAACCAGCCTGGAAATAGCCAAAACCCCTCTAAAACCAGCATGGTTGACCAGCTAAAACCAGCCAACCAGCCTAGGCTGGTTTAAGCTGGATTTTTCAGCAGGAAACATATTATAGCATTTTATTCTTTATAAGAGTCAAAAACGTACATACAGCACCTTTAAAGAAAAAGGCTCATTTTACAACTGCCCAACAAGAGTTAAACAGTTGAGTTTGACCCTTTATGAATCCATTAAGTCAATCTCCATGTCAGGTGGAAGCACTTTTAGCTTAGCCTAGCATAAATCATTGAATCAGAATCATTTTGGAAAGTTGCTATTTACTAGGTCGATATGACCAGGAACTAGACTTTCATTCTACTGTTATAATCAATAAACTTATACCAGCAGTACCATGGCTGCAGCACACGCAGTGAAATTACGCTTAAAAATAGTCCCTAGATAAATTGGTAACAGCTCAATATTATTGCACCTGTCATTACAGAATGAGAGTACAGTTCCAAGTTTATCAACCTAGACTGTCTTCAAGGTTTTAGTAAACAATGTAACAACAGAATAGTCAAGATATATTGATACAAGATATATACAAGATGCTAATAGATTAATTAGACTATTAGTTTTGTCTTATGCTAAGCTAAGCTAAAAGTGTTCCTGGCAGACAAACAGATCAGCTGAACGGATTAAAAAAAATGGTAAAACCCAACTGTTCAACTCTAGGGGGATGGTAAAATGGGCTATTTTTAAAAAACGTATAGTGTTCCTTTAAATGTGGAAAATTTGGATAGCTTCATAAAACTGTTAACATATTTCAAACATCTAGTTGTCAGTTTCAAACAAAACTGTCAGTGTATGAAACACATAACCTGTGTGGCAACAGACTTGTCATTAATTATTACAAATGTTCTTAAAATGGTCGCTGTGTGGTAAAGCGTGCCAGATGTTTCAGTGTAACTGAGCCAGTGGGTCGACCAATAATAAATAACAAACTTATTATACAGACATGTAAATGCAAGTCATGATGCGACATTAGCACAAACATTAGCACATGATTATCACATACAGTACAATAAATACACACATTTGATCAAACTTAACTGAAAAATAATAAAGAATTTAAAGTATCCAACTTAATTATCAATAAATATACTTGCCATAAAGACTTTTGAAGATATTATGAATATGATTATGAACTCTACCTGATCCTGGAAAGCGTTGGCTTGCTCCTCAAACCCTGTCGCTTTAAAATAATTGACCACATCCGCTACGGCCCAGTGGGCTGGATCAGTAAGCTGCCCATTCTCCACAGAACTATTTAGGAAGAGAAAAATCTTTAAATGATACCCCAATTTGATTTAATCAAAGACTGAATGCCTATACAATCCACAAGATATATGGTATGACTTTATTTGGCTTAAAATCGCAGTTATAAGCATCCCTTAAAATCCACATGAACCATTTTTTTGTATTGTGACGCAGTTCCTAATTTAACTGAACTTGATCGTGGCTTGTTTTTCTACAGCAAACTGATTGGATGTAGTAAAGTAGGCATTTCATTCTGAAAGATCAGGAAAAGTGATTTTCAGTAGAGTTATTATAACCTAACATATGTAATCTGACACATGGAAACAAAAAACTTCACACAAAAATTGTGTAAAAAGTGAAAGACCATCAAAACATTATACAGCAGCAGTGGCAGAGGATGATAAAAGTAGATTTTTTACAACATCAACAACTTTTTAAAAGTACATTCAAGATAAATAATTAATTTTTTCATATACTAACAACATGTTTTTCATAAATAGTCTGTGTTGTGAGAAAATGCAGCTCGTTTCACTAATTTGTTTGCTATATTTGAAAATGCAGCGAATTATTATTATTATTTTTTAAGTGTTTGCGTTGTGAGGATTTGCAGCACGTGTGCTGTCAAACAGATGAAGATCTTTTCTTTATTTACTGGCATTTTTTGTAATTGCATGTGTGTTCCTAAATTGCAGAATGTGTAAAAGGGACAATTAAAACGAAGTGCAACAAGTCTTTCATTTAAAATCCTTTTTTTTTTTTTTTTTAAACAATAATTCCCAGCATTTAAACAATAAGTATTGAAGATTTATTAGAAACTATCATATTGATATAACATAAACTTACTTTTTGGTCTCCACTGAACCATTTTCCTTGGTTTCCATGACTGCTGAATAACACACAAAAAAATTAATCACTTAAAAAAACTTAACCAATAACACCATATTTATTCATTTCAACAACAACTCGACTATCGCTCACCTGTTTGTCAGAAAGATGAGGCTGCTCTATTCCATTAAAGGTGTTCTATCCTCTTGTGCTGCTCATGCCATCTTCTTCAGTCTCCCGCTGTGCCAAACTGACCCCATTGTCGATAAACATGTATAGTAGACCTCCAAGTTTATGAATAATTGTTGTGGTAGCTGCAAAACACTAATAGACATGTATTACTACAAGGAAAATGATCAAAAACTCATTCAGTAAACTGACGTTTTTTAACAATGCAATCTATCAATTGAGTAAACCAAATTTTGAAACCACAAAAAACCCTAGAGAATAACAAGTATTATAATCTATACTAGTACTTATTAGCTATGTTTATACAAATAAAGAACGTTATTTTAAAGTAAAAAATATTTCCACTTCGCCAAAATATTAAAACCAAAGAGAACTGCTGACATTTTAAGATGTAACTTAACGTTAAGCGGTTTGCTTCACAACGGAGCTGGTTTGACAGGTTCAGCGTCAATGAAGAAAAACACGATATACAAAATGACAGCCATCGCTAGTAACACATAGAAAAGCTGTTCAATTAATTATAAATCATCCAATATTTTTGTAAGCAAAGTTTACTTGATTTTTAATCATTTACCGTAGCTTTCGAAATACATATTTACAACAAGACTAAATGTAACTAATGACGGAAGCTGCAATCTGACAGGCTAAACAAGAGTAGCCTAAAATACAATCGAAACATAAATTTTGTATTTTACAAATGTTTTAATGACGAATTAAATAATGTGACGATTAATAAAGCAGATGATAAACTCATTAGCTTGCTAGCTTTCATTAACTGAACATTTATTACATTTACCGTTTTCCAAAGAAAACACAATCAACATTTTAAACAGTTTGGATGAAAATCTTACCAATTTTTTTAGATGTTTTATGTAGATGGTGTTAATATTACTGGTTGAAGATCATTGATACAATATTACGCTTTTTTCCAGTACAATCCAACAAATGCAGACGCAGGGGTTCATGGGTAATGTAGTCTAGAACGATGGGAAATGTAGTTGGTCACAAGCGTGAGCTACTCGTTTAACCTACTTCCTTACTTCCAGATATTTGTTTTGATGAAAACTATTTTTTAGTATGCAATAGAAAATGAACAAAGAGACAAAAAGGGTTACATTGATAAAATTCCAGCAAATTAAACTAGTTTAAATAATTTACACCGAGAAAGAGTTTTACACGCAATATAATTATTAAAGTTTTTTAAGGAGTTCACATATACATCAAAGTCCTCTCTAAAAATAAAAAGTAAGGGTGTTTTTTTATTTTATTTTTTGAAAATTTACATTCATGGATGTAAAATTTAGCCAAAAAAACAATAAATTAATAATAGTTCAGAGAGTAAAGAATACAAGTTTTGTTGAGGAAATACAAAATTTTGGAGATAATAATTTTTCAATGAAATTGAAAAAAAAAAGTCAACCTATAACACTTTACAGTAAGTACACTCCCAAAATAAATTATTTAGTGTTTCATCATAGTGAGTACAAAATGAGTATTTAGGGGAAATATTGTTATTAAATTTAGCTAGTTTAGTATTTATTGGATAGCAATTATCAATGATTTTGATTGAGACTTCAATAGCTTTATTAGATTTATTTATTTATTTTCCAAAGAAGCCAAAACTGTTACCCAGATTGCATAATGTGGGCCACTTTAGGCAGTTATGCGGCACTGGTGGTCTTCCTTCGGCCCAGACAAAATGAATGTGAGCCCGAAGTGACCCACCTGTACAACGGCAAAGGGGGGGGGCCAAAGATTCAAATTCATGTATGGGCCATTTAAGTCAAAGATTTGGCTTTTATGGCAAAATGTAATCTGAATGCGAGCCTAATGTGGCCCATGTGGAAATTGATATATTTGGCGCAAATGATGGAGGACAAATGTGGCATAATCATTTAAGGGTAATCTGGGAGTCTAATGTGGCCCAGAGAAAATATGGCAAATGTGGCCCAGTTATTTTAAAACATATGTGGGCCAGCTTGGCAAATATTCGGCACAGTAAACTCTGGCTAATGCAGCCGTTAGTATATGGTGGCCCAGAGAAGATATGGAAAATGTTGCCCAGTTATCTTAAAACAAATTGTGTGCCACTTTTGGCAATGTTCGGCACAGTAAACTATGGCTAATGTGGATTTGAGCCTATAGTTGGCACAGAGAAGATATGGCAAATTTGGCCCAGTTATCCCAAAAGAAATGTGGGCCACTTTTTGCAAATATTTGGCACCGTTAGCTCTGGCTAAAGTGGCTGTGAGCCTAAAGCGGCCCAGAGAAGATATGGCTGTCCAATTGTCATAATCTAACAGTTAACTTGCTATGTAAATAATCAAGCAATATTATTTTCACCAGTCTTTATATAATCTAGGGGAGAGTGAGGTAAGTTGAGGCTTTTTTGCTCTCATGAGAAGGTAAAAGGAGGCAGAAGTACAATTAAAGCATTTAACTTGAACTTTTCAAAACTTTCATTTAAGTCACCTGGTTTCCCCCACAGTCCAAAGACGTGCGGTATAGTTGAAATGGGTAAGCTAAAATTGTCCATAGTGTATGTGTGTGAATGAGTGTGTATAGATGTTTCCCAGTGATGGGTTGCAGCTGGAAGGGCATCCGCTGCATAAAACATATACTGGATAAGTTGACGGTTCATTCCGCTGTGGTGACCCCAGATTAATAGAGGGACTAAGCCGAAAATTGAAAATTTACTTACTTTTTTACTCTTCTTCAATTCATTTCGAGTTTCTTTCTTCTGCTGAACACAAAATATATTTTGAAGAAAGCTATAAATCTGTAACCATTATACCAAATATAAAAGTCAATGGTTTCCAATATACCTAATCTCATAAAGGTTTCACTTCAGAGTGAATGAATAGTGATTGGGTGATCCCTCAGCCAAGTAAAATCCTTCACACAAACAGACAAGCAAAAGTCCATAATAACAGGTGGATGTCACAAAGCAAGGTCAATTATTTTATTTTATTCATGTTCAAAATAATCTTTCTCAAAATCGTACAGTATAATCTCTGTAGCAGCTATAATACACATCTAAAATAAATCTATTCATACTGTATGGGTCATAGGAAGACAAATAACAGTTTGCTGATTCTCATCTTTTTATCACCATTTCAGGGACATTCAAGACATCAAATTAAATATCAGGGGGATTTCTAATTGATTTTTTTACCATTGTTTCACAGGATCTGTGTAGCCTCAGAATTGGATAAAAGCATTCAAAATATGTTGTTTTTACATTGCACCTTTCAAATTTCTGAACACACACATGCCATGTGTAATGGATAATTCACCTAATATAATAAACATGTATTTTTGTATTGCAAACAGCAAAAGTTCTTACATAAAATAAAACACTTAAGAACAATTAACGGCCCCACTTTATATTAAGTGTCCTTAACTACTATGTACTTATATAAAAAAAATAATAAATAAATAAATAAATACAATGTACTTACTGTGTTTATAATGTATTTGAGAATACTTGAGGTGCTTTTGAGTTGGGATAGAGGTTGGGTATGGACAGGTTTAAGGGTGGGTTAAGGTGCAAGGGATGTTCAACAGTGTATTTACAAATGTAATTACTAAAGTTAATTACAGATGTAATTACATACATGTATTTAATCAAGCATAAGTACACAGTAAATGCATGTATTTACACAATAAGTACATTGTAACAAACTATTAATTCCTGTGTAAGTACATATTAGTTAAGGCCACTTATTATAAAGTGGGACCCAATTAACAATAGCATATTCGTTTTATAAATTAATTGGTATAAAACTAAAAAAGGACACAAGGAAAATATTATTTAAATCTCTAAATTTCACCAGAATCGCTTAAAAAAATGGCATGTGGTCTTCAATAATGCAGTACACTAAATTGGTGTATTTCTACTCAGATCACTAAGTCTCCTTGAATGAAGCCATGTATCAAGTGATGTTCTTGGATTCACCCATGAATGTGTTTTTTATTCATTTTATATATTTTTTTGCAAAACAAAACAAAGTATCTGTAGGAACTCCTCTTTAAGCTCTTACAGTGACTCTAGAAGTCCAAGAATTCTTTTGAACATTGCTCTGAGACAGATACCCGTATGACTTCTTCGTCATATTCGTCAAAGTTACTCGTGTCGCCAGGCCCTCTGCACTTTGGTATGATGGGTGCATCCACCTGAAAGAAATACAAATAATATATATCAGTGATGCTGGAGTACACAAATTAAGTCAGTTGCCATAAACGCTGATTTAGATTTCTGGGTCAAGCGCACACATATGGTCCAGCACAGCCTTTGTGCTTTTCATAGCCCTCACCGTTGTTTACACAGACACTTATGTGCACCACTCAAGAAATGTAACTACATGTTGCGACGACGCAAATTGCAAGTTCTGTGATTGGTCGACTTGGTATCGGTGACGGTTCAGAGCCATGAGCCCTGTGGAGTGAGTGTTTACAAGTGCCAAGTCCTGTCAAGAAGCTCCAGATGAAAACTTTCGTGATTACCTCATGATGTTTACCTTATGATTAAAAGTTTTGGAACATCTGACGGTTCCCGCCTCTGAATGAGCGAGTTTCAGCAACTTGTAGCCTTTAGAAATACAAAATACCTAGAAAAAACTTAACACTTAAAGCTAATTTATACCTCTCCGTCAAGAGCATGCGTATCGTCTGGTGCGTATCGTCTGGTGGTCGCATAGCCCTCGCCGCGGCTGGCACTGATGTGCACCACTCAAAAATGTAACACTTCGCAACAACAAGTAGCGTAAGCTCTGAGATTAGTTGGCTTGGTACCAGTGACGAGCATGAGAAGCTGCATGATTGATGGAGTGAGTGTTTACAAGTGTCGAGTCTTGTGAAGGAGCTCCAGATGGAAACTTTTGTATAGTGTTCACCTTATGATGTTTACCTTATGATTAAAGTTGTTGCACTTCCGCCGGTTCCCGCCTCTGAATGAGCGAGTTTTAGCTAAAGAAACTCCACATTGAGAAACATTAAAACCTGCTGCCAGCTAGCATTTCAGGAAGTATATTGTATGCTATTGCAGAGCAACACAAACAGCACGCTGAAGTGTAAATGCACGACTACATACAAGGCAGGCGCCGTGGGTCATGCCGATTACTTAACACAGAAGTATAAATCAACCTTAAGGCTCGCCATGGCTGATGCCAAGGCTGATGCACACCTCTTAAAAAATTTAACTATACTTCACAACGACACGTAGCACAAGCTTTGTGACTGGTCGGCCTGGTTACTGTGGCTATTGTGGGCTTGACCGAGAGCTGCGCGAACCCGTTGAAGCGAGTGTTTACAAGTGTCAAGTCCCATGAAGTAGCTCTAGATCAGACATGCCCAAACTATATATGGCCAGCGGGCCAATGTTGACCCATGGTAACCTTGATTTGCCCATCCCATCTGAGAAGAGAGGTTTAATGTAACCCTTTGTTTGTCTGTTTGTTTGCTTTATTGTTAAATGCTAACTGAAATTATTATTTTTTAATTAAATGGTGTAAATTAATCAGACTGTCTTTTGTGTTTACCTTATGATTAAAGTTGTCTCACATCCGCTGGTTCCCGCCTCTGAACGAGCGAGTTTTAGGTACTTGTACATTTAGAAAAAAAAACTGAACACCCAGAAAGAAATTCGACACAGAGGAACAAAAAAAAAAGAAGTGCTATTGCAGAGCAACACAAGCAGCATGCAAAAGTATAAATGCACGACTACGCACAAGGCAGGTGCCGTGAGTCACGCCGATCAATTGACACAGAAGTATAAACCAGACTTTAAAAGTGATATGTTGTTTTTAAGTAGTTAAAGCGATTCTGTTGTTACTTAGAACTCCTAAGTTCACTTATTTTAATTATGTACATGGTTCATTTATTACAATAGACATCACGTCAGCCCATGTTTTTGTTGATTCCTGAACATTTCATCTAATTTAAAGCCTGCAGTCAAAAAGAGTGGGCAATTGTCATCCAATCAAATGACGGTGAGGCTTGGCATGTTGCAATTTGAAAAAAAAAAAAAAAAAAAAACTACACTGACTAGCAGCATGGCACCACTTCACTCCAGACGTAAGTCATATTTACAATGTTTTTATTCAGATCTATTAATATGTTTGCCAATATTTCGTATTATGTGAAAAATAGGGATTGTACTTACTAATTAAAGTTTAAGATCTTTTGTAACATTGCAAGCTTTAGATCAGATTTTTAAAATATATATCTGTCCATTAGGATGGTCAATGGAATCAAAATCTTTTAGCGAAAGTAAATATCATGTAACGCTGATTGAACTTGTTAACATTGATAATGTGAAAATGTTAATGTTGGGGATTTTGAAAATAAATGTCAAGATTACACCAGCAATTGCGCATGTTTTTTTTCTGTATTTTATGTCTGTATAATGTTTGGGAAGTACAACTGTTCTGACCTGATGTCTATTGAAATTGACAAAAAAATATATATACTTAAAGGTTGTTGAATTTTTATTATTATAATTTGTATAATTGTTATAGTGTAATATTATAACCCTTTATTAATTATTAAACCCTTCAAAGGGAAAAGGGCATTGGGATGAGACTATCCAAATGGAACACAGCGTAAATCTGAATGGATCATTTGAATTATTTACTGGAGACCAACTCTGATCGAATCATTGTTTACTGTATACTAACTCTAATCGAATCATTTTAATAAGTGAACCATTTACTGCAAACAGACTCTGAATGGATCATTTGAATCAGTGAGGGATACTTGCTCAGTGCAGTTAATGAACTAATTTAAAAGGATAACTGATAAAATCCAACTTTTTCATGAATTAAACACCACTATCTTGTGTCTGAGCAGTTGACAGTTGGTGACATTTTCTCCCTTTTAAGATAACCTTTTACTCGACTTCATTTAGGAGATCTTGTGGAGTAAAAAGTACACTGTTTTGTTTTGGAATGTAGTGAGGCATAAGTAAAGGTTTTTTTAATGTAAAACATACTATTATACAGTACAGATACTTAAAATATACTAATTACTGCAGTAAAAAAAAGCATTTAAGAGACATTTCAAAAGTAAAAACCTGCATGAATAAGGAGTTAAAGAATAAGAAGCCACACCTTCTTCTCATAGATTGCAATCCAGTCTGTGGAAGCGAACCATCTGTGGTTTTTAATGTCACTGACTCCATTTTTCAAATTGCCAAAGCGCTTTGTGAGGTCCACTTGCAGTAGATTGCGTAAAAGGTCCTTCAAGTCTGAGCTGAAGTGTGAGGGGTATCGTACCTGTGGAAATGAAATAATCACAGATGATGACGTAACATTGATAGAGTTCAATTTCAAGGACAAAGATAAGGAATGAAGTTTAGACTGGATATTTATATTAAATTATTAAATTTAGAGTGATCCGATTGGCTAGTGATTAGTAATGGGGATCAGCTGTAGTCAATCTTATCACGTGCTCCTCTCGAAATCAGTTTAAGAAACTTCACTTTGCGAGTGATTGTTTTAAAAGATAAATTAAATTAAATAAATAAATAAATAAAATAAATTAAATACTCCTACTGTCCATTTCATTTCCCTTCGGCTTAGTCCCTTTATTCATCAGGGGTCACCACAGCGAAATGAACCACCAACTTATCCAGCATATGTTTTACGCAGCGGATGCCCTTTCAGCTGCAACCCATCACTGGGAAATATCCACACACACTCATTCACACACATACACTACAGACAATTTAGCTTACCCAATTCACCTATAGCACGTCTTTGGACTTGTGGGGTAAAGCGGAGCACCCGGAGGAAACCCATGCAAACAAAAAATGTTTAACCTGACTTTGTGACAGGCCCAAACTGTAAACACACAAAACACTATTTTAGCCAACCAAAATACTCTGAGGTAGTGGTGTTATGAACTAGCTAAAGGAGTTGTCCTCCATTTGAGCCATTGTGTTCCAATTTCATCAGTTTAGCTCCAAAAAACCATGCTGAATTTATGGCAATATTCTTCTACACTGACTTGCATCTGAAACGTCCAATAAATATCATTGTACTTTCTATAATAGATTAGATCTATCCTACACTCTATTATACGCTCTCTATTCCACTTTATTAGGTACACCCCCTTTTGCCTTCAGCACTGCTTTAATCCTTTGTGGCGTAGATTCAACAAGGTACTGGATATATTCCCCAGAGTAGTCCATATTGACATGATAGCATCACACAGTTGCTGCTGATTTGTTTGCTGCACATCCATGATGTGAATCTCCTGTTCCACCAAATCCCAAAGATGCTCTATTGGATTGAGATCTGGTGACTGTAGAGGCCATTTAAGTACAGTGAACTCAATGTCAAGTTCAAGAAACCAGTCTGAGATGATTCGCGGTTTATGACATTTTGCTGGAAGTAGCCATCAGAAGATGGGTATACTGTGGTCAAAAGAGATGGACATGGTCAGCAACAATACTCAGGTAGGCTGTGGTTTGATGCTCAATTGGTACTAATGGGCCAAAAGTGTGCCAAGAAATATCCCCCACACCGTTACATCACCACCAGCAGCCTGAACCATTGATACAGGACAGGATCCATGTTTTTATATTGTTGACGCCAAATTCTGACCCTACCATCCGAATGTCGCAGCTGAAATCTGAAGACTCATCAGACCAGGCAACGTTTTTTCAATCTTCTTTTGTCCAGTTTTGGTGAGTCTGTGTGAATTGTAGCCTCAGTTTCTGGTTTTAGCTGACAGGATCGGCCAGTGAGTATAGATTGCAAGCACTTTTGGGCCTAGTCTGGCTAAAATGTGGCACTGTCGGCTCATTCTCTGTATCGGTGAGAAGATAATAGAGCTCTGTCAAATCTACAAAACCATTCTGGCTGCCTGGTGCATTTTTTTTTTTGCTATAGACTGGTCTTGACTGGCAAGTTTGTTCTTGATGTAGTCCTGGCTGACTACTTTTTGCTGTGACAGGTCTGTTTTGGTTTAGGCAAGTTAGTAGTTTAGTAGTGTGTTTCTACTTAAGGCCAAGTTTGTATTGTCACAAATAGACCACTGTCAGAATAAAGGAGCCCAGGCGACAATAAAAAAAAAAAAGTTTGGTGGCTGATTATGTTGGCTTGAGAAAGCCAACATACTGTTATGCTACTCTGTCCTTGAAAACAAACGTATCTCCTCCTAGGTCGTTCATGCCACAAGACCCAAATGTGGTCAAAATGTGCTTTCTACATTCAAGATTGTTGCTATATCTCCTCATACCTATAAGACTTATTGTTTTTTTAATAAAAAATGTTAAATATTAAATTTTTATAATCCGAGCATATAAAAAAATTATACAAGCCCCAAATTTGGCCAAAAGCTGTATTTAGATCCGTTAGATTTTGTTGCTATATCTTTAAGGTTTATCACATTTATAGTTTTCCAATAAATAATTTTTAAGCATTATTTTTCTCAAAATATGGCAAGCAATTTTTGACTTAAACTTCATATTTTTTACTGATATGGCAAGCCATTTTTGCATGTATCACTTTCACACTTATTAAGCATTGTATTTTCAAAAAAATACAGCAAGCCATTTTTACATAATGTTCAGGGTGTCAGATGTTTGATTAAGCAAGCTCCATCTCAAAAAGAAGCATTCACTCATTAAAAAGCTGTTCTATATAGTTAAATACTGTTAATCTGATAAGTTTAAAGATTAGTTGCAGTTATTAAGATGTTTGCAGGGTTAAGCAGACATAAATTGCTTTTGGTGGTATATTGGTTATGTTCACGTCCGCTGTAAAACTGATATGAAACTGAAACGGTGTACACATTTGATGATCTCACACCCATTTATAACCCTGTGGTGATGAGTTTTAATATGCGTAGGCCTAGGCGTTTGTGTTTGTTTGTTAAGGCAAAACTTCACAGCGGGTATTCTGTCCATTTATATGCAGATTTAATTAGGTTACATCAACTAAAGCATCAGATACAATGCATTTTATTTTAATATTGTAAATGTTACAGAAACGTTAGCTATATTTATTTGCAAAATAAACGGTTACATATTACAAAAGTAAAATTTACATATCAGGTTTAAAACAAGAAACATGCATTTAGAGCAGTCAGTTTCCTGTGAAAGGTGTCCTAAACACCTTTTTAATGTAGGAATCTTGTTTAGTATAAATAGTTTATTGCCTGTGTGTTGCACAATTTTATTAATTAACTGTAGATTTAAACATTATTCTGACCTTGCCAGACACAATTTTCTCATAAATCTGAATAGGCTGATCAGCGAAGAAAGGCGGATATCCAGCAGCCATTTCATAGATCAGAACACCCAGTGCCCACCAGTCAACAGCCTTGTTGTAGCCCTAACAAAGAAAATGAGAAAACAAATGAGTATTCTTTGAAAAGGTAAGTTCAAAATAAAAGCACTGTAAAAGCGCATATATATATATATATATATATATATATAATTATTTAGAAATTAACTATATTAAATTCAAACAAGTTATTCCAAATGAAACAAATACAAACTACAAAATTTAAACCATTTTTTTCAAATAATTTTAATATTTACGTAGATTTTTTTCCCTGTTTACTGAGTACGTTTGTATTTAATATTTCAAATTAAATTTTAACCCAAACTTTTCAAAAATGTGCATCACAATTGATGTTAAGGCTATGGGTCTGAATTCATTAAAGTTTGGGCAGAGTTGGATTTGGATACAGGGACTACCACAGCAACCTTCCAAACCTTAGGTGCATGTTGTTTTGGAAACAATCTATAAAAAATGTATTCATAAATTGGACTTAATTCTCTTGCACAGATTTTAAGTGTGCAACCACAAATATTGTCTGGTCCACTGTTCTTGTTGACTCTTACTGATAGGAAAGCCTTAAGCACATATGTTTGTTGTATGATAAAACCTCTCTTTTTAGACCAAAACGCCTATGGGTGCACATATGAGCGCAAATGCATTTGCTATTTAAACAGCGTGCTGCAAAACGTCACAACGACTATTGCGCGAGCTAAAACTAGCAAACAACAATTGCGTCGCACCTTGCGTCACATTGCGCCGGGTGTATGATAGGGCCCTATATGTTTAAACTCTAAAAACAAATGTGGCTCACTCACTGTACTCGCTGAGCTGAGCTTTTTCAGTTCTTATAGTTGCCATAGTAGCACACAACATAATCAATGTTCGACCTTTAAGGTTTCACGACAGTAACGTGCACGAGCAGTTAATTACATTATTTAAATTAATTAGTTAGATCAAATGATCTTCAACTTGCTGTTATGGAACCAATTTAAGCCTGGATGTTTAGTTTGGTTCATTTAAGTCAGTCTTTTTACTTTAATTTTTTCTAAGTGACTTCTATGAATTAGCCCCCAGATTTGTTTGGATGTCTTTTCAGAATACAAGTAAAAATATTTTTAATGAAATCTTAGAGATTTTTGCCAATCCACTCTCTTCCTGAATGTTTTAGTGGAATAGACTTATGTTTGCATTTTGAAAATAAATAGTTTTCTAACCTGTTTGGAAAAGCCATGAAGCTGAGTAAATGACTCACAATATTTTCTTTTCAGGGTGAATTAACTTACTGGCCATATTTTCATACCTTGCTGAGAATGATTTCTGGTGCCAGGTATTCTGGTGTTCCACACAATGTCCAAGTTCTGCCTTTGACTCTTTTGGCAAATCCAAAATCTGTTACCTTAACATCATTGAAATAAATATGTTAATGTTGAGTAAACTCAGTTTGAAAACAAGACAACAGTGAATATAATATTTCATTGTGAGACAACCATTTAATAACAACACAGGCTCATTTGGAAAACGAGTTCAGCAATACACGGTTCCAGAAACCAGGTAAAACAAAACCCCCCAAAAAAGTGTAACGTCGTGGTAGAAGCGCATAGCCATAATGACTTTTCCCTTAATTTCTTTTCAAAACACATGTTATGATCAACAGCCCTTTCGGATCACTGTAGATAACTCCCTGTCATTCACCTGAACTACATATCCCATCATACCCAACATTCACACACCAGTATCAAGTTCACTTTGATTACACTTAAGTGATGGTTGTACTCCACTTTTTGCCCCATTTTCGCAAGTGAACTCAACAGAAATTTTGCAGTTCACTATGTTGCAAAGTTGAAGCTTGGTGAACCCTGACCTGTGAAATGGCATCATGTTACGGTGTGAGACCAATCGAAGATCATAACATGACCTCTCTCTATAGATTTTCAAAATATGGACCAATCACTCGTTTTTTAAAATATCGAATTATATTGTTTAATCCCACCCCTTTTTGCAGAGCTATACCACAGAATTTCTACTGTGACGGTGGCATAACAGCTGATGCACATTATCATTAATTACTTGGACTACAAATACACTTTTCATTCACACATATAATGCTGAGTCTTGTTTAGCTGTTGCTTCATTTCAAAGCATTTATCCTGTGTTTTTGGTCTTTTTGCATAGTTTTTCATTTTTGATTCTTGCCATCTGTCTTGACTTTTGTATGTTATTTGACTGTTTGTCTGTTATTATATATATTTTGTCTCCTGCTTTTTTGAGAAAATTCAGAGAAGTTTCTTTTCGAACAATTATGAGAAACCATGCCCCACTAACATATTTGAGATCAGTGTTGGGGAAAGTTACTATTGAGTTACTTCCCCCAAAGAGTAACTAATTGCGTTACCTAGTTACTTTTTTTATGAAAAATAATGTAATATGGCTTTTGAGTTACTTTTGCTTATCTGTCGGAGGTTTGATCTCTTTCAGAAATTTTTCACTTGTTGAGGTTGGTTCATAAATAAGTGACTTGCACACCTGAATGTATCCCTGATGATCAATGAGCAGGTTTTCAGGTTTCAGGTCCCTGTAGATGAGGTCCAGCATGTGAAGATACTCAAACGTCAGAACAATCTGAGCCGCATAGAAACGTGCATTCTGTTCACTATGAAAATAAAAGAGAGCAAAACTTGATTAAGTCGAGGGCTAAATGCACACAATCAATAGATTTATTCATGCTTTTTAAGTTGTTTACCTGAATCTTCCAATCCTTCTCAAATGTGAGAACATCTCACCACCTTGGATATATCTCATGACCATGTATAAATTTGAATTATCCTGTTAAAGAAATTATTGATTGACATATAAAAACAATAATGCAATTAAATATTTTTTAATTTTATGTAACAATATTGCATTTTTTGCAAAAGCTTTAAACCTGACATTTTCATGGTGGAGATCAAAATGTAAAAAAAATAAAACTATTTATGAACCCCTTATTTTATAGATCTTTTTCAGAAATAATGTAATCTTCGTTGTTTAATTTATTTAGGAACTATACTTACAGCAACACCATGCACTTTAACAACTTCATTGTTTAAGTTAAGTTTACTTCATTGTTTTATCAAATTTATGTGGATTAAACATAAATAATTAAATTATCTCAAAAAAATTAACAACTCTGTTGTTTCAGCTCAATTTAAATAAGCAGTTTGAACATATATTATATGTGTCATGATCAGGTCATGATCACCAGCGATCCAACCACCAGAGGTCGCTAATAAACACTCTCGCACACACGAACACTCTCGCGCACACAAACACACATACATAGGACTACAAATCTGCTTGTAAATGGACTACATATTCAGTCATGCAACACACACACACACACACACGCACACACACACACACACACACACACACAACCGGTTCCTGACCCTGACTGATTGCATACACACAGCTGATGCTGCTCAAGTACTGATTACACACACATATATTTACAGCTCACATTAAAACACTTATTGCTAAGTCTTGTTATCTGTGACACTACAACGCGTTTCCTTTGTCCGCCTTTGCCGTGTTTTTGATCCTTTGCCTCGTTTATTTGTTTCATCCTGTTTGCTGCCTGCCTTGTATCCATCTGCCTGTTAATTGACTACGGCTCTGGATTGCCCTCATACATCTGTTTGCTCCTGCATTGACCACTGCTTGCCTGATCATTCTAATAAACCTGCATGTGGACCCGCACCTCTGTTGTCAGTGTCACATCCCCTAGTTAATATGAAGATATACTACAACCAAAATTTCTGAAAGTTACAGCAGCAAAACTTAGGAAGAATCTGGTATAGGAACAGTATGTTGCCTTCCAATCAACAATTGCATTCAATCTATTGATTCAATCAGTGATTAGTTAGTGGAATTGTAAACATGCAATATTCTAGAAACTAAAGATTTTGATTGATCCATTTCTTTTGTTTTGGCTGAAAGGTCATCCACATGTCAGTCAAGCTGCTGTTAAACCGGTTTTGTCCGACAGTTAGTGAAATCACTATTGGGTGCAAGATAAATAAATGGCATGATTTGAAGGTGTTTGTTAATTTTTTAGATTGGGGTTGTTTTCCTCAAATATTTTATGCTGTTCTTTGAATCTATAACTCATGAAATATGCTCCAGAATGGCATGTTTACTCTTAATTTTAAATAGGATTTAGCAGCAAGCCTAAAATGTTGAAAGTTGTAGATTCCTTCCTAATTTAAATCTCCACTGTATATTCATTATACATTCATTGTCTTCAAAAAAAATAAATAAATAAATAGCTAAATCATCCGGTACCTTAAAAGCGCACTCAAGTTTTACAAGGAAAGGAAAGGAGACCGCTTGTAATATTTTCTTCTCGTTTAATGTGTGTTCAATCTGTTTCAGCTTCACCACCTGAAAAATGATAAAACATGGGATTAAAACTAAACAGTTGGAGGAATTCAAGAAGAAAGAACGGCATTACATTTAGGTATATAGCAAACTTTCCCAAACATTTCATCCAGCAGACCCAAAACAACAATGCCTGTGACTTGCGACCTATAAATTCCTCAGAGGTGGTCATAAATATAGAAAGACTGCACGCACAACAATAGGCCATTACAAACACGAGCATATTAACAACACAAAATAACAGTCTAACAGCCATATCATTTTCACAGTCATTTTTATTTTGTTTAATTTAATATTAACCTCACCTAAAGAGACTGGTACACTCTCAGTAATAGCTGTCACTGGAGCAATACCTTTTCAAAAGCTACATATTTGTACCTGAAGGGTTTATAATGACACCTCAAAGCTACTTTTTAGATCCATTTGGATACTAATATGCACCTTTTAGGTACATTGTGGACTACTTGGGTACAAATATGTATCTTTTAAAAAGGTACTGCTTCAGTGACAACTCCGGTACCTTAATTTCTAAGTGTATTCCCACATAGCAAACGACACTGGCATGCATAACATTAGCCAAATGTCGGCTATGCATGGCAGTGATGGCACTGCATGCATGACAGCAAACTACATATAGGCCAGATGTGGATGGTAGGTGTGTGGCCCAGATCAGTGTAGCGGTTGTTCACATTACTTAGGTAACATTGGGCTGAATTAACATTCAGTAACATGCAGCTCCTAATGAGAAAAAAAATAATAATAAAAATAATTTTTATTAATTAATATATATATATATATATATATATATATATATATATATATGCACATACATACATATACATATACATATATATATATATAGATAGGGAGACGCAGTGGCACAGTGGGTAGTGCTGTCGCCTCACAGCAAGAAGGTCGCTGGGTCGCTGGTTCGATCCTCGGATCAGCTGCCGTTTCTGTGTGGACTGCGTAATACTATGATGTCAATATGGAATAAAATCTCGGAGGAATATTTCCAGTACATTGTTGAATCTATGCCACGTAGGATTAAGCCGGTTCTGAAGGGGGTCCAACCCAGAACTAGTAAGGTATACCTAATAAAGTGGCCGGTGAGTGTATCGTTTCAGTTTAAATAAGCTAAAGTGAACAACAAACTTTTCTATAGGCATGTTCAAAGTCAAAAGTGTTAATAATTTCAGTGTAAATAAATAAATCCCCTAAATGATTAAAAAAGTCTGTAACAAAAAATAATCCTTTTCATAACCATCCCAAGCGCAGTGGGAAGCACAATCGCCTCACAGCAAGAAGGTTGCTGGTTTGAGCCCCAGCTGGTTCAGTTGGCATTTCTGTGTGGAGTTTGCATGTTTCCCTGCGTTCGCATGGGTTTCCTCCGGGTGCTCCGGTTTCCCCCACAGTCCAAAGACATGCGGTACAGGTGAATTGGGTAAGCTAAATTGTCTGTAGTGTATGAGTGTTTGTGTGAATGTGTGTGTGGAGTTGCGGCTGGAAGGGCATTCGCTGCGTAAAAATGTGCTGGATGAGTTGGCGGTTCATTCTGCTGTGGCGGCCACGGATTAATAAAGGGACTAAGCCGACAAGAAAATGAATAAATATATATATATATATATATATATATATATATATATATATATATATATATATATATTGTTTTTAGACCTACAGGCTAATTCACACTTTTCACAGCTTCAGCCCCCCTAAAATAGGCCTAGCGACGCCTATGCCTGGTGCTATAAAATCAATCTGCTGTATGCGGCTGATGCTATTGCTGTGTCTTTAACATAAACACACCAATCCCGTGAAAAGAATGATTGAAAGGCTGATGGCTGTTCATTTGCATGCTATTATTTGTATGTCACTATTAACTATTATTTTTTAATCTTCTATAGGATAAAATATGGTAACTCTAATAGTTTGATAAAATATATTTGACTTTTGGAAATCACCAAGTGACCCGCTGTCATTATCCTGCGACCCCCCTCTTTGGAAACCACTGATTTAGCAGCTACTAAAAGAAAAAGTAAAAGGGAAAAGAGTGTTTCTACAGGTGGTTTGTAAAGCCCACTAACATATGCGGAACACACTTTTTTTCTTTTTGTATTAGATAAAAATTAAAATGAAAAACACACCTATAATATCACACATTATGATTTGTACAGTATGTGATCACTTTTGCATGTGTCTTAGCTAAAGTTTTCATGCATCATCCTCTCATCCAATGTTATAACATTGTTTTTGTTTTATGGCACTTAAATGGTCCAACTGTGGAAACATCATCGTGTGGCTGCTCGTTGTGGTTGGATCTTGTGAGCAGAGGAAGTTTTCTGTTTCCTCTGTGCTCTGTATGTAAGGTTGTACCATTTTTCAGCACACTATGTGAAACACAAACCCAGGCCGCCAAAAAAGACATTTATTTATCTACTTTAATTTTAAAATGGGAATCGAGCAAATTCAATGCTAAAAATTCAATTGATGTAATATAATATAATATAATATAATATAATATAATATAATATAATATAATATAATATAATATAATATAATATATTATATTATATTATATTATATTATATTATATTATATTATATTATATTATATTATATTATATTATATTATATTATATTATATTATATTATATTATTTCATATCATATTATTTTATATTAATTATATTATATTATATTATATTATATTATATTATATTATATTATTTCATATTATTTTATATTAATTATATTATATTAAATTATATTATTTTATATTACATTATATTATATTATATTATATTATATTTTATTATATTATATTATATTATATTATATTATATTATATTATATTATATTATATTATATTATATTATATTATATTATATTATATTATATTGCATTGTATTATATTATATTATATTATATTACATTATATTATATTATATTATTTTAAATTATATTATATTATATTATATTATATTATATTATTTTATATTATATCATATTATTTTATGTTATATTATATTATATTATATTATATTATATTATATTATATTATATTATATTATATTATATTATATTATATTGCATTGTATTACATTATATTATATTATATTACATTATTTTATTAACAAACAAAATTAATTATGTAGGCTAATGGATGTGTTTAGTGGAGAGCGTACAACACTGTTTTCTTATCCATGAAAGAAAGTGAAAACAAAAAGGCTGAATAGAGGAGGCTAATTTTTCTTTTGCTGTAAGTGTTTTTTCCACTTACAAAGTCTGCTATGTAAATAGTAAATGTGTCATGGAGCGATGCAACTGACTCTTAAAGAGAATGGAAGATGAGACTCTGATTGGTTTATTCTTAAAACACACCTATACTCATTAAGAGAATAAGCTCAACCCTGTTAGACCATGCGACGCGGCGCAGAGAGTATTTCCCTGTCCTTAAAATAGCAAAAGTGGATTCGGACACACCCTTAATGCTCTTGCGCCCTGCGCTGCAGACTTTGTGCCTAGACTATTAAAATAGGGCCCAATGTTTTGTTTTAATAAAAAAAATTAAGTGAGTTTTTCCTTTAAACAAGCAAGAGTTAAGCAAAATAATAGTGTCTTTCCTTTTGACATAAGCATTTTTGTAAAGCTTTTTCAGTGTGTACAGAAACAGAAAGTTCAAAATGCTCAATTTTGCAAATACTAGAAAAAATAAGCTTAGTTTAATTTACAAAACAAATGTATTTTACAGAAGATAAAAAAACAAATACTTAAGTTTTGTAAGAGAATTTACAGTATACTCACTTTTAGTTTGTCCAGAATCTTCATCGCAAAATACTGTTCTGACTGTTTGTGTTTGACAAGCATTACTCGTCCAAAAGATCCAGTGCCGAGAGTTTTCAGTTTGTCAAAGTCATCTAGACATGCTGTGCTCTGCAGAATCAAAGTCAACAATTAGTTCTGATGGAGACTTTGACTGATACATTTATCTTGATGAAGCTCCCGCACTGTACCTTTTGCTGGCACTCCCATTTGTTCAAGAAATCCTCTTTAGCTTTTGCCAGAGTTTCCTTCACTAAAGAGAACAAGACAAAAAGAAAAGAGTGAAGGAACTAGCATATTTTATCTTGCATAATATTCAATTTATATATAGCGTTGTTCTTTTATCTATGTTCAATATATGCTATTGCTTGATATATCAAAGTTTTTGCCATTTTTTATGTGAAGTTTATTTATAAGCTAATTTCGAAAGGATCAAGGGCTTATGATTGCTTGCAGCCGGCCCCGCATTATTCAATTCATAATTCACCAATCAGAAGATTCCTAAACCACTTTAAAGTTCCATATGACAGCCATCTTCGTTTTGAAGAATACCCCCTTCCACCCCTACTCCTCTGATGGCTGGCACGGTGGCCCAGTGGTTAGCACTGTTGCCTCACAACAAGAACGTCTATGTTTCTAGTCCTTACCCAGTGGCGCAAAAAGGGGGTATGCAGTATATGCGGGGCGCCAAACACTGGGGGCGCCATTGTGCCAAAACTATTTTTGAAATTATCCATATTAAAAGTTTCAAATAATATATATATCTTTTTGTTAAAAATGTTTATTTAGCATTTTATACGCGTATAATATTGTATTTTATTAAATTAAAAAATCATTCCACCCCCCACCCCCATTTTTCATACCATATACATGTTTTTATGAATTTATTATGTATCATATTAATTCATCAGGCCTTTTGGTAACTTCTTAGCTCAAAACTATTTTAATTTTAGCTACAAACAAAGTCATAACATTTCAATTAAATAGAACATTTCACACAGTTTGTTTCTGTTTTTTTACACTAAACATTTGACAGTCTTTTTTATTTCACTTTTAGCAGTTTCAGTCAATTGTTCTTGCAAAGACAGACCTTACACTTCTCACAGTATGCATGTGAGAAGTAATTGCAATGTTCTTTTGCCCTTTAGGACTACCATGTCTATCATTTTGTTTTGACAAATGTAGTACAAAAAGCAAAAGCAAGGCTAGTCAAGGTGCTATAATCTTTTAGTGAGGGAAAATTAAAATGAGAAGAAATTTGGGCTGGTATGAGATGCATTTCTTTGCGACTTAACATGCTTAATGTAATTATACCTTTTACTACTTTATACTATTTCAGTTGTGTTCAGAAATGTGAAACTGTATTTTTGAAGCATATTGATATCTTTATGAAAAAATATCTTTAATTTATTGACGGAAATATTGTCCACATTTTATCACTTGCCTGTTATAAAATACAGTTTGATCGAAGGGGGGGGGGGGGGGGGGGGGCGCAAAAGTTGAAGCCGCATAACCATCAGTAAATGTGCAGTTGCGCCCCTGTCCTTACCAAAGCAGCCAACGTTTCTGTGCAGAGTTTACACGTTCTCCCCGTGCTCACGTGGGTTTCCCCTGGGTTCCCCGGTTTCCTACCACCGTCCAAAAACGTGCAACTTAAGGTAATTGACTAATCTAAATCAGCACCATAGACACGCTCTTAGTAAGTAGGTATCTCTTAAGAGCAATCACTATCTGTTCATTAGCTACTACAGCAGGGAAGTTCACAAGATCTACCTGAGCTCAAACTCCCCTCTCGCCTTGCAAATGGGAGGGAGCCCTGGGCTCGAGAATCTTATGAGCTCAGGGCTCTCTCTCGGGACAGCATGCCAAACAAGCTTTATAATCAATCATCAGCTGAGTGTGAACTCTTGAATAACATTTTGTGCAGATACAAGTTACATACTTACAAAAATAAGTAATAGCAATGCTCTGTTTTCATCATACCCAAGCCCCCATATATTCCTTACCCTTATATACCCTTAGCCTGTTTCGGCGTCTGTGATTGTTCTCTGCCTGCCTCTAACTCTGCCTGTTTATTGACCTGATTTTGGATTGCCCCAGATCATTAACAGATCATTGGTGTCTGTACCTTAATATAGCTTGCAAATGCATCCAATGGCTTCTGACTCATCACAACAATCAGACACATGTCAGCTATATGACTTCATTTTCATTCATTCTGATTCTGTTGTCCCACAACAGTGGTCAAGTGATACTCATGTAATTTACACTGAATTCAGATAGCTTCACTGTAAAAAATACTGGGTTCCACAAAATTCCTTCTTGTCCCAACACAAATTGATTAAGTTAACTCAATTTATTTTTTTTTTTTTACAAATGTAAGAGAATTGAACATAAAACAATTAAGTTGCCCCTAAAAAAATAAATAAATCAAAACTTTGTGTTTGTGTTGTTTCAACTCATTTAAAATAAATAATCTGAACAAGCAGCAAAAGTATTTTTGGAGTGTTTATACGTAGGTGTTCTGACCAATTACACAGATAAGAGTAATAGTGTGATTACATAAAACCAGCAACAGATAATATTATAATAATAAGGCAGAACGTTTATGATATTATTTTAAATGAGATTCAACCTGCCCTGTTGTGATTTTAATAGAGTTTTGTCAAGTACATCACGCTAGCTGTGTGCAAGGCAGTCTATAAACAAGTCTGCAGCTACTTTATAAGGCACAGATGTCCAAAGTAGAGCCCACGGGCCAAAGTTGGCCCATTGTAACCTTTGATTTGGCCCACCATCCCATCTGAGAGAAGAAGTGAGTATGATGGAGAGGGTTGGGATGAAGGCCTTTAACACAGAGATCATGATTTCTAATTTGACGTAAACTTTTTTTGTTTGTTTTATTGCTGAGCTACAAAAAAGCTAAATGAAATTAAATGTTTTAATTAAATGTTGTAAATAAATCTGATTTCACTCGATGGAAAGAGGACTATGCAGAAGACATAGGCAAGCATTCATTCATTCATTTTCTTGTCGCCTTAGTCCCTTTATTAATTTGGGGTCGCCACAGTGGAATGAACCGCGGTACTTATCCAGCAAGTTTTTACGCAGCGAATGCCCTTCCAGCCGCAACCCATCTCTGGGAAACATCCACACATACACACACACATTCATACACTACGGACAATTTAGCCTACCCAATTCACCTGTACCGCATGTCTTTGGACTGTGGGGGAAACCGGAGCACCCGGAGGAAAACCGCAGAAACGCCAACTGAGCCGAGGATCGAACCAGCGACCTTCTTGCTGTGAGGCGAACATGCTACCCACTGCGCCACTGCGTCGCCCCACATAGGCAAGCAAATCAAGGCAAAAGCTAGTGTAATTCTGTTATAAATGAGATTGTTTTGTTTTTATTTTAATACGTTCATTTTAAAATGTAAAAAAAAAAAATCTGTACGAGTTAATATAAGCAAGGTTTTCTAGTCTTTTTAAAAATAAATTCGAAAATTTCCCATGGAATTTACCTTTGGCCCACTAGCCTCAATCAAGTTTGGTTTTTGGCCCTTCATAAGAAAAAGTTTGGGAACCCCTTGTATAAGGAAAGCTAATTCAATTAGCAAACTTGATGTACATGTTTTAATACAGGCAATGCAAAACTGTAAAAGGATAGTTGACCCAAAAATTAACATTTACTCGGTAAAAAAATGCTGGGTTCCACACAATTTCTTTATGTTGTTCCACCACAAATTGATTAAGTTAACTTAAATGCTTTTACAAATACAAATAGATTGAATGAACAAGCAGCAAACGTCTTTTTAATGGATATGCAATATTTACTCTTACTTAAAGGGTTATGAATCTTTATGGGTTATGAATAATTTAAATAAAGCTGAAAACCTGTAACCATTGACTTTTCAAGTAGGAAAACATAATGGAAGTCAATGGTTACAGGTTTGCAACATTTGTGTTTAACGTAAGGAAGTCAAACAGGTTTGGAACAAGTGAAGAGGGAGTAGATGAATACGTAAATTTCATTTTTGTGTGGACTGTCGGTCTGATTACGGACTTTAAATAACTGAATAATCTCTTCCTATTTTACATTATTTAATAATATTTTAAAAAGACCAGAAAATCTTACTTTATATTAACTAATACCTTTTTTTTTTACATTTAATAATGAACCTATTACAGTAAAAATAAAACAATCTCATTTTTAACAGAATAACACTAGTTTTTGCCTTGATTTGCTTGCCAATATCTTCTGCATAGTGCTCTATTCATGGAGGGACAGTACTTACATTTTTAAATATCGCATTTATTTACAACATTTAATTGAAACATTTAATTTCAGTTAGCTTTTTTTGTAGCTCAGCAATAAAACAAACAAAAAAAAAAGGTTATGTCAAATTAGAAATCATGATCTCTGTGTTAAAGGCCTTCATCCCAACCCTCTCCATCATACTCACTTCTCATCTCAGATGGGATGGTGGGCTAAATCAAAGGTTACAATGGGCCAACTTTGGCCAGCGGGCCCTACCTTGGACATCTGTGCCTTATACAGTAGCTGCGGACTTGTTAACTATATTAAAATCACAACAGGGCAGGTTTACATGTCATTTAGAATATTATCAATAACGTCCTATGTCTCATTATTATAATATTATCTGTTTTGCTGTTGCTGGTTTTATGTAATCACATTACTCTTATCTGTGTAATTGTTCAGAACACCTATAGACACTTCACAATACTTTTGCTGCTTGTTCAAATAATTTATTTAAAATGTTTATTCTCACTCAAAGGGTTATGAATCTTAATGGGTTATGAAAAATTTGAATAAAGCTGAATACCTGTAACCATTGACTTTTCAAGTAGGAATAATGGATTTGGAAGAAGTGAAGGGGGAGTAGATGAATACATAAATTTCATTTTTGGGTGGACTGTCAGTGTGATTACAGACTTTGAGTAAATGAATAATCTCTTCCTGTTAAAACCACAGAGTGTCTGACAACATTCAAAGTGTACAACATGCAATTTACCAAGGCTAACACATACTGTACTTCACATTCATCAGAAAATTACAATAAAACCCCTATGTTATATTCTATAACAAATTTGAGAAAGTCCATCAGCGATATTTAAATTGAGTTACATATTTCAAGAGGAAAGGATGGCTTTAGTGTATTGAAACCACACTCATTAGCTTGTTTTTTAATATTATCATTACAGCAATGTTTACAATATTTTAATGAAGGCACTTACTTGCTGTATCCCAAAGGACAGTGTGCTCTGACACATGCGGCCCCTCATTCTCCAGTCCTTTGTCATGGTTTCCTTTTCGACATTTGTAAAAAAAACGGCTAGCTAAAGTGTCCAGCTTCTGAAGGGCAGAGTTAGTGCCTGATGAATGGCCAAAGTGTGGATCCTTTGGCTGGGCCATTACACGCGCTGTTCACACAGAAGAAACTTTCAAATTTGTTGATAACCACAGATGCTCTTCAACTCAACTGTCTGCAGCACAGAGATGTCATAGTCATTTCCTGTTTTAGATGCTTAGATTTCTATTCAAGTGTTTGCCTTACCACCAGCTGAGCTAGTTATACTTCCTGTTCGAGTAGACTATTCTGTGCAAATGATGAAGTAAACATGGGTCATCAGGCCCTTTGCTCAACACCCCAAACAGTGGAGGAAAACAAAAAGACATAGGTTCCAAAGGCCACCAAGGAGAATGTATTGATTTTCACTGAGAGATAACTTGTGAAAACTAGCATGCTACATATTGACATACTTATTCTCAACAATGTAAAGCTGCAGTTCAGCTATAATACATATCAATGCAATGAAATTTCCTTTAACTAACCATATAACTTGATGAGATGTACTGAAGGCTAATGCTTTAACTTTTTATCTGTGAGAAAGGTTTTTAAAACGCTTAGCCTTTATGTTTAGATTAGCAATTGCTGTTATGGTCTCTATAAAATGATTACAAATCATTAGGCTAATCAGTATTATAGTCCTGACTTAGTTACTGATATAAACTAGTTTCCTGTAATCAAACCGATCAAAGCATAAACCAAAAAGGCTATGAATTCATTAAAGCTAATCAAGATGTAACGTAGTAAACCCTGCCAACATCCCTACTGAAAATAACAGCTTAAACCTCTAGAGGGGTTTTGGGAATTTCCAGGCTGGTTTCCAGCCATTTCCAGCCTGGTCTTAGCTGGTCAGGCTGGGAGATGACCAGCTAAAACCAGCTTGACCAACCTAGCCAGGCTGGGAGCCCAGCCAAAACCAGCTATGTCCAGCTTAAACCAAGCTGGTCAAGCTAGTTTTAGCTGGATTTAGCTGGTAATTTTCCAGCCTGACCTGCTAAGACCAGGCTGGAAATGGCTGGAAACCAGCCTGGAAATGGCCAAAACCCCTCTAAAACCAGCCTGGTCTCGACCAGCTAAAACCAGCCAACCAGCCTAGGCTGGTTTAAGCTGGATTTTTCAGCAGGGATTTTTATTCAAAAACCAGTCCTTATTTTGGAATAGTTATTCATTCATTTTCTTTTCGGCTTAGTCTCTTTATTAATCTGGGGTCGCCACAGCGAAATGAACCGCCAACTTATCTAGCGTATGTTTTACGCAGCAGGTGCCCTTCCAGCTGCAACCCATCACTGGAAAACATCCATACACACTCACGCACACACATACACTACAGACAATTTTAGCTTACCCAATTCACCTGTACCACATGTCTTTGGACTGTGGGGGAAACCAGAGCACCCGGAGGAAACCCTCGTGAACGCAGGGAGAACATGCAAACTCCTCACAGAAATGCCAACTGTACCTGCTGGGGCTTGAACCAGCAACCTTCTTGCTGCGAGGCGATTGTGCATCCCACTGCGCCTGGGACGGTTATGAAAAGGATTCATTTTTGTTATAGACTTATTTAATCATTTAGGGGATTTATTTAATTACACTGAATGTATTAACACTTCTGACTTTGAACAGGCCTATAGAAAAGTTGTTTATTGTTCACTTGACCTTAATAAAACTGAAAAGATACACTCACCGGCCACTTCATTAGGTATACCTTACTAGTTCTGGGTTGGACCCCCTTCAGAACCGGCTTAATCCTTTGTGGCATAGATTCAACAACTTACTGGAAATATTCCTCAGAGATTTCGTCCACATTGACATCATAGTATTGCGCAGTTGCTGCAGATTTGTTGGGTGCACATCCGTGATGCGAATCCCCCTTTCCACCTCATCCCGAAGGTGCTCTATTAGATTGAGTTCTGGTGACTGTGGAAGCCATTTGAGTACAGTGAACTCATTGTCATGTTCAAGAAAGCAGTCTGAGATGATTCACACTTTATGACATGGTGCGTTATCCTGCTGGAAGTAGCCATCAGAAAGATACTGTGGTAATAAAAGAATGAACATGGTCAGCCAACAAAAAGTAGGCTGTGGCATTGACATGATGCTCAATTGTTACTAATGGTCCCAAAGTGTGCCAAGAACATATCCTCCACACCATTACACCACCACCAGCCTGAACTGTTGATACAAGGCAGAATAAATCCATGATTTCATATTGCTGATGACAAATTCTGACCCTATCATCTGAATGTAGCAGCAGAAATTGAGACTCATCAGACCAGGCAACGTTTTCCAATCTTCTGTTGTCCACTTTTGGTGAGCCTGTGCGAATTGTAGCCTCTGTTTGATGTTCTGAGTGGCACCCGATGTGGTCTTCTGCTGTTAGCCAATGCATCTGGTTCTCTTCCAGAGCTTATCAGAGCCTTCTTATCAAGAATAAAAAAAATGTTATAGGATAAAAACAATTATATTATGAAAATCCTAACTGCAGATAAAAGTGTTCTTCTAATAGCAATGAATAAATGAAAACAAGCTTTCCTTTCAATTTTCCCCAAAAATTTGCTCAGATATAAAAAAAGCATAATTCCTAATGAAGTAAAAGAAACCTTTTTTTTAAACATTAGCATACATAGATGTTATTCATGCAATGATTTTATTAGAAGGATAAGTTTAAGCATTGTCAGCCTTGTGTTATTTTTGTGCAGTGAAGCCAAAAACAATCATCCATTTATTTTCAGTTGCAATTACACAATAATATTCAATCTATATAACTAATAAAATTATACTATTTATGGATTGCAACTCTGGATTATTGGAAATGAACAAAATAACTCAAATCCTTATTTCATTTGGAAAAAACCACATTCGCAAAACAAAATGTATGCCAACTGTACAGTACTTACCAAACTGTTACCTTTTGGCATTGACCTAAATTCAGTGTAGAGTAGTCCTAAAGCTCTTAAGACATCTCAACTGCTGAAAAAGAAAATACTTAATGTACATGCTTAGTTTTTGTTGTTCCCCCTGTACATTTTTTAAATGTACAACTCTAGTTTCAAAAATCAATAGGTTTTGCTAAGTATTTTAATATATGGCGCCATCAAGCGGAAAACTGACGAAATAGACTATATCGATGATTATATTAAATTTATATTTACAAAATAAATTAGTTTAAAAAAGTAGGTAAAGTACGGTACATGAAATATATAACATACACATATAAGGGAAAGTATTTCTGTATTTCATGTACTTTATTTTTACTCACATTTTTGCTTAAATTTAGTCAGGTGCTGAAAATTCCTGACATGTTTATTCGCTAATAAATTTAATGTTAGTTAATAATAAGATATTAAAAATGAAATATTACTGTTTATTTACTTTAAAACATATAACATGTATAAATATATCATAAATACTCTTATTAGTCATCTGAAAAAGAACCCGGATGCAAACATTGTTGCTAAGAGTCAGTGCGCTCCGGAAGAGTCCATGTATTTCACAGTGGGGGATTATTGTCACTCAAGAGTAAACATACACGCTAAAACATGCATTTTAATAATTCAAAAATAAACAGTGTTTCTCATTTCATAGTAAATTAAAAACTGCCAGAATGTGGTCAAATTGCATTGTGTTGTATGTATTGCGTAAACAATTTGCAATTCAGGTGCCCCCTTTTGTGGAATAGGTTGACCCATCTTCACGTTGCACTTGCGGTAACATACAGAGCAAATTAGAAGGCTTTCATTCAAAAGCCAAAGCATTAAGTGAAATGCTAAAATAAAGAGCATATATACAACTGTCAAAAAGAAGTATTTACGAAAAGAAAAAGAAAATAGAACGAGGACGGCGACAGCATCGCAGACAGAAAGACAGAAAGCCTCTGTTTAGGTAATTAACTCAAAACCTCCTCATTTTCATCATCATTGTTCTAATCACAGCAGTCACAGTTTATTCAAACTAGCAATCTTATCGACGTAATTATATGATGACAAACACATTGGCTGTAAGACAAAAGGTTGTCTTGTGTGTCAGGATGCGGCGCATCTTTGCATCTCTCATCCGCATCAGCTTATAAGTAACGAGAATTTATTATTTTTATAATTAAATCCTTACTAAAGCATAATTTGTGGTTGTGTTGTTCAATTTAAGTGCTGCAGAAATCCTGCCATTGCAGCACAGGTGTTCATTATCATCATCTGGGCCTCGTGCATGAGTGGATTTTTCAGAGAAATCAGAGGCAATTTAATCACATGACGATAGTGCAACGTGTCCTGCATTAAAGTGCTTGTTTAAATGCTGGAAGATGTGAATAAACGGAGAAAAGCAGGTATTAAATGTACATCTGGTTGAGATTTGTTATTATAAGCGGCCTATACAGTACAGGCCGAAGCTTCCATCAAATAAACATGAATACACTTGAGCCAAATCAGCAAGAACAGTATGTCGATCCAGCAGTCTGTACATTTATCCACCACGTGCAAAAGTATCTTGCTGTCTTAACATTAGACCTGTTTGTTTGAGAGTTTACAATGAGCTCTATGCTGCAACAGACCAGTGATTCAAGTGGATTACATCACTTCTGAACAGTTTTCCATTCAGTGGGTGAGAAGGGTCTTGATGATGGTTTGATGTTGTTTGTTCATTGTTTCATAAAACATTTTTATGGATTGTAACGTGTAGGTGTTTTGGATAAAGGTAAAGTTGGCTTTTTATTCGCACATACGTTTATTTAGCAGTCTCTTTATTGTTTACCATGCTACTTTGAATAGAGGTAAAGTTGGTTTTATATTCAGATATTCAGACATTCTCCCTAATAATATAATTTCAGAAAAGTATTCTTTACAAATTCTAAATAGGGAAATCATATTAGCAGCCAATGACTATCAAAGTACAACATTGTTCACAGCCGATTAGATAGTGCTAATGTTGTTTTGAAGTCATACTTGCATGCTAATTCTGATCGAATCTTCAAAGTAACATGGTAAACAATATGGAGACTGCTAAATGAATGAATGTGCAAATATAAAATGAACTTTACCTCAATTAACTTTGAATTTTCCATCTTAATTAGCATGCAAGTATGACTTCTAAACAACATTAACACTATCTTTTCACTGTGAAGTGTGAACAATGCTTGCTTTGATAGTCATTTACTGCTAATATGACTTCCCTATTTATAATTTGCAAAGAATACTTTTCTGATTTTTATTCTTAAGGAGAATGTCTGAATATCCGAATATAAAACCAACTTTACCTCTTTGTGCTTTGGAGATCTCTGGTGGTTATCTATCTATGCGGTTATGTTGCCATAGAGATGTATGGACCATGTTTAAGAGTTGTTTCTAATTTTAGAAAATTACACAAAACCTAACACCTTATTTATTGTGTGAATTCACAGATGTGTTTTCAGGAGTTTAAGTCTTTTCCTAAAGGGATAGTTCACTCAAAATGAAAATGTACTGAGTATTGTTTCTCCCTCAAGTTTTTTTTTTAATCTAACTGGCTGTTTCTCAACATGCATTCTTTAGAGGTCTTGCGTCCGTGTTCTCGTGTAACGTCATCATCAGCTGCCAATATTCAGTTCTAATACTCAAGACTGCAAGAACAGAGGACGCGTAAAACTTCCCGAATGTGTTCTTGATATCGAGGATGCACTGATGCAGACTTGAGCACCGAACTCGCTCTGGAAGTCCCAGAAGTCATTGCGACTGGAGGTGGGAAGCGCAGCATTTAATTTAGATTTATTATTAAAGTTCTGTGATATCACTTATTTACCTTAGGAGTTTCCCTAAATGAAACGGTGAAAGTAAACATTATCATGGACATCTTAATAAAGGAATAAACACATTAAGGGTTGTTTGTTTGCTGAAATTCGTATTAAAATCTATTTTAGTTATATTGTGCAACTTATATTTATAATATTTTATGTAGAGTAAATATTTTAAAAAGGGGAAAAACAATACATCGTTGTGTGAAAGGCTGTAAATAATTTTCCATTAAAAATGCGCAAAGGTCATGTGACCATTAGGAAGAACGCAGCTTCTTATTTCTCAGAGGACGCGTTCACTGCCCTCGCGGTCTCCTGAGTTCGTTCTTCCGAGGACACCTGGCAAGACCAGTCTCCACAAGAACGCAAGTCTGTTCTCTGCGTTCTTGGAATTAAAAAACAGCCTATGAGTTTCGTCCATATTATAGAAGTCAATACCCATCAGGCACAGGATGTCAACATGACATCAGATTGATATTGTACTACAAAGTCAGGCGATTTCGCATTTTGTTTGGGAATGAAAATCGAATTGACGTCAGAACCCAACGATGCCTAACTATGCTACTGCTTGACATTGTGTAGATGTTACCACTATGATGTCTATCAGACTTTGGATTTTGGTTGCCATACCTGAAAAATAAATGTCAGTATTTGACGTCAATATGAAGTTGGTTTAAGATGTTGGCTCAACATTGGCTTTAAGTCACTTTCAAACGCAGCCTAAAATCAACCAAATATCAATGTCTAATGATGTTACAGCTTGACGTTGTGTGGACTTTACCATTATGACGTCTATCAGACATTGGATTTTGGTTGCCATACATGATGTTTACATGTCAGTATTTGACATCAATATGAAGTTGGTTTATAATGTTGGCCCAACATTGGATTTTGGTCACTTTTAAACACAACATAAAGTCAACCGACTATCAATGTCTAATTATTTAACAGCTTTACGTTGTGTAGACGTAACTACTTTGATGTCTAATAGATGTTGGATTTTGGTTGCCACACCTGATGAATAAATGGCATTATTTGACATCGATATAATGATCTTGGTTTAAGATGTTGCCTCGTCGTTGGATTTTGGTCACTTTCAAACACAATGTGAAATCAACCAAATATCAACATGTAAGGATGTAACAGCTTGACGTTGTGTGGACATTACCACTATGACATCTAAAAGACGTTGGGGTTTGGTTGCCATACCTGCCGAATAAATGTCAGTATTTGATGTCAATATGACGTTGGTTTAAGATGTTGGATCGATGGTGGATTTTAGTCACTTTCAAGCAAACCTAAATATCAACATCATTTGACGTCGTTATTGGATGTCAAAATATTGTTGTCCTTGGATGCTGGCTAGACATTGGATTTTGGTCACCTGATGTCACGACCTAACGCTAACCTAATATTACCATCTTATAATGTTGTGTGGCGGGGTGACGCAGTGACGCAGTAGGTAGTGCTGTCCCCTCACAGCAAGAAAGTTGCTGGTTCGAACCTCGGCTCAGTTAGCGTTTCTGGGTGGAGTTTGCATGTTCTCCCTGCGTTTGCGTGGGTTTCCTCCGGGTGCTCCGTTTCCCTTACAGTCCATAGACATGTGGTACAGGTGAATTTCTAAATTGTCCGTAGTGTGTGTGTGTGTGTGGATGTTTCCCAGAGATAGGTTGCGGCTGGAGGGCATCTGCTGCATAAAAACCTGCTGGATTGGTTGGCGGTTCATTCCGCTGTGGCGACCCCACATTAGTAAAGGGACGCTGTAGATAGTGCTGTCGCCTCACAGCAAGAAGGTTGCGGGTTCGAGCCTCAGCTCAGTTAACGTTTCTGTGTGGAGTTTGCATGTTCTCCCTGCATTCGTGTGGGTTTCTTCCGGGTGCTCTGTTTCCCCCAAAGTCCAAAGACATGCGTTACAGGTGAAATGGGTAGGCTAAATTGTCCGTAGTGTATGAGTGTGTGTGTGTGAATATGTGTGTGGATGTTTCCCAGAGATGGGTTGAGCTGGAAGGGCATCCGCTGTGTAAAAACTTGCTGGATAAGTTGGCGGTTCATTCCGCTGTGTCGACCCTGGATTAATAAAGGGACTAAGCCAATGACAAGAAAATGAATGATGAATATTCAAACTCTTGGTCTGTGTTTTTCATAAGCTTGGTTAATGTTTTGTGTGGACGATACCACTATGATGTCTATCAGACGTTGGATTTTGGTTGCCATACCTGATGAATAAATGGCAGTATTCATAATCAAAATGACGTTGGTTTAAGATGTTTACTTTCTAACACAACCTAACATCAACCAAATATCAACATCATTTGATGTCGTTATTAGATGACAAAATATTGTTGTCCTCTTTAGATGCTGAATAGACATTGGATTTTGGTCACCTGAAGTCTCAACCTCAATTTAACCTAATATTACGTCTTATGATGATGTGTGTCTGCTGGGTAGTTACAGATTTCCAACTTTCTTTGAAATATCGTCTGTTGTGTTATATTGTCATTAAACTAACAAAGTATATGTTATTTGGGAAATTAAAAGTAGTCATAATATAGATTTTTAAATTGATAATGAATTATTAGAGTATATGCAATTAAGTTTCTTGGTGTTGTAAATGTTCGCAAAATTAGTTGGAAACCGCAAATGTATAATTTGAAATCAAAATTAGTAAAAACCGTAGCAATGGTGTATAAAGCTAAATTTATCCTGGACGATAAATCAATGTATGTATTATAGAACACACTTATGTTGCCATACAGTATATGAGGTATTGTGTTGAAATTTGGGGAAATGCATATGAATCTAATATAATATATCCGTATGTACAATGCAGAAAAAAGTAATTAGACTGATAGAAAATAAGTGGTATTTGGAGCATACAAATCCTTTATTTTTAGAATTGAAGATACTTAAGTTCAGTGACTTCCAAAATGCATACGAAAGCTTTTTGAAGAAAGACAAGGGGGATATAATCTGAGAGAAGAACACAATTTTAGAAAGTTGAAAACAAGGACAACTTAAAAAAAAAAATGTGTATGCCTGTGGTGTAAAATTATGGAACAGTCTAGAACAGATTCTTAAACAATGTCAGCATATTAATCAATTTAAAAAGTTGTATAAATAT